TGCCACCCGCTAACGTTGTTGAAAGAAAGACTGGACTAAAAGCGCGCGCGAACGGCTTATCAGTGGTAGTAAATGTGCATCTGCTTTACCTGAACAAGTTTAGAGAAAGAAAACATTTATTAGTAGAGAACAAACGAGACTGCGTGTACAAAGAGAAAAGGAAACTCTGGAGGACAGAAAACTGTGAATAGAGCTCTGGAAAGGGTGAAAAGAGAAGAGTCTGGAATGCTGAAAGCCTCGCTGAGTCAACGGAGATCAGTGTCAGATAAATCTAACAACTATCCCGCTTATTCTCAACCAGTCGTAAACGACTGGCCGCAACGACCCCCAAAGAGGGGAGAAATTGCGAACGAACGAGAATAATTCTCTGACGGCCTCTCAGGAGAGCGCCGCCCACGGGGATGCGGGGTGGATAGGAGCGCCCCGTTCGTCCCTGCCGTAAACCAATAAAAAACCCTCGAAAAGTCCTGTAGAATCGTAAGATTTCTACAGAACTTTCGACACATAACATGATGGATATGGATGGAGGGGGACCAACGACGGACCAAGAAGAAGAAGACTCGAATGCCTCGAATCGCATTATGGCACGCGGCTTCAGCGAGGAGGATAAACTTTTTTAGGGAGAAAGAGGGAGAGAGAGAGAGAGAGAGAGAGAGAGAGAGAGAGAGAGAGAGAGAGAGAGAGGAAGAGAGGAAGACGACTCTCCGAACATCTCGGAAACGACGTCGTTTCGGAGGGGTGTATCAAATTTGGTTGGGAATTTGAACGGTGATGTGGAAATTCAGAAAACTGCACTAGAGTACTGATTTCTGAAAAGACTACGCAGGCTATCGGAGGCATTTTAATAAAGCAGAATGGTTTTGTAAATCTAGGAAAGCTAGCGGAGGCAAATAAGAAAAATCTGTACCCATAGGAAAATGCCAGTCTTTCTTGAGACGAGCTCAGCCAGCTTGCTCCTTTATTAATTCCTAGAAAATCAAAAATCCTCGCCGGTTCTAAAAACAAAGGCAGCCTAGCAGAGAACATTTAAGAAAATTTTCTATAAAAATATAAGCAAACTTGGTCGTTAGTCCGGCAAACTAGCGGAGATCATTTAGGAAAACTTGGATTGGATTCAAATTGCATCAATATCAAAAATTTCATTCTATGGTTCTGCTAAAAAAGGTTGAAGCGAGCTTGCAAGGATCCTTAGGAAATTCGACATAACCATGTCACAAAGTTCACAAAGCGGAACGGGCAACTGCCATTAATGCGTAAATTAAAAAACCTAAAGAACGACTAAAACTAACTTTGGGATTTTCGGCTTCAAAATACCTTTAAAGTACTCCTACTAGCACTAGACAATTTTCGCAACAAAATGGGCAGTCAGGCGGCTAGGAGGAGATCTACATGGAAAACGAGATGTTGACGGAAGACCGAGGAGAAAGAAGAGAGGGTGAAGAGAGAGGCTGAGTGAGTAGTGGTTTCGGGATGGGCGGATAAACCTAATTAAGGACCGGGGTTGGGGAGGATGCGTTTGTGTGTGGATGTGTACGTCTATCTGTCTGCATGTGGGGACACATTCAAGATGGATTCAGGATGGGTTAGTGAATGCAGACATCGACCATGGAAATGTGGAAATGGATTAAATTTTGGTTTTGAATTGAGTCTAGCTGAAGAATTCTCGCAAAAGAAAATTTAGATTTTCAGCATGTCCCATTTGCTTAAAAATCCCGCAAATCAGGATCAAAATTAGCACAGAATCGAGATTTCGCAATTAAAGATCGCGATTTTGTCTAAATCTAACATTTAAATATTGCAAGCTGTTAAATTTTGAAATCGAAACTTGGAAATACGACTTTTCGAAAAGAAGGCTTCTGAAAATCTCATATTTCGGCATTTCCATAATTTCAAATTTTAAAATCGGACTTTACGCATTCGGGACTTTCAAAAGCCATAGTTTTTCGAGTTTAAAAATTTTCAAATCCTTCAAATCCGTCTTTTTCGAATCGTATTGAATTTTATGAATAATTAACGATAACAGATTCTGATTCTGGATACTTTTTACCGCCATTGGTAGCCAGAAAATTTTGCTATTTTTGCAATAGTTTTTTTCGTGACCAGAATATAGGGTCAAAAACCCTGCAAAAATTCAAAAATCTTGTACTGCTTCTAGCTACTAGTCAAGCGCTGCTTGTGTGGGCATTTGCCCCCTTGCCCAGCTGACCAGTGCAGCCTGAAACGCCGGAAAAATGGGCTGAAAAAGTGGAAATGGGGAGAGGCTGGGTCCCGGGGCCCCTGGCCCGAGACCCACAATCCCGTTAAGGCCCCGGGCCCCGATTTGCGGCGTTTGAAAAATGGGAGGAACGTACAAATATTTTGAAAAAATCGAGTTATATTTCTCAAAAATGATTCCTTGAATTGTCCGTATAACTTAATGCACAAAAAGCTAATAAAGCAAATTATGCAAACCATATACACACAATTGCGAAACTTCGTCCAGGCGAGCCCCTAAAACATGGCAAAGAATAAAAAAATGTTCTAAAAATCGACTCGAAATTGGAAAAGTTTTCCACGTGGTTCCGGATGACATAATTCGTTAAAATACGCCCATAAATCGCTTTATGCAAATTTTAAGTAAAAGAAGAGGCAAATTTTTTAAGCATTAATTTAACTGACTAAGACTCGCAAAAAAAGCATTTTTCGGGAATCTGTATTGCATCAAAACAATATTATGAAATTGGTGGAAATTGAGCGTTAGACCCCATATTTGACGATTCAATCATCAAGATTCCAAGTCAGAAACCTGAACCTTGTGGCCGCTAGAAGCCTAATATATCATGCCGGGGTCCTCATAAGCACCCCCAAAATATGGCCCGAATAAGGCGCGGGGAGGGCAGATGGTGCAGCTGGTGCGTTGACCCGAAGAAGGCCCGGCTGACGATTGTCCCCGCCCCACGCCCCCACAAGTTCTCGGCGGCATGGGTGAGGTAGACTGTTATTAATGGATACGCGGAATTTTTCGGATTCTTAAAAAATCTGGAACATGGTATTTTACCGCGTAGATCCTAAAGCCAGAAGGAGCCTAAAGGAGCTAGGAAGTCCCTGAATTACATCCTCTCTTCTAAATGGCACCTCGATCCCCGGGTGGGTGCTCGGGATAATGGGGAAAAGCTTTTAAGGGGAAGGGAGTCTCTACTTACCCCCGACTACGGGACGCTCCAAAAGACGGAGGTGCTGACATACAGACAAACATCGTCGGGCACCCCATTCCATATGCTGTAATTGGTCCTGGGGGTGGGTGGTGGTCTAAGACGTTCTCACCCTGCGAACCCTTCTAGAAACGGCTAATTAACCCCAACCATGGGGGCCCCGGAGCAGGCCATTTCCTGCTTCTTGATGGCGGGTGTTGATAGTAAACAAACGGAAAATTGGTTCTTGAGGTTGAAGGGACTTGGGACGAGGATACTTTAGGGCCTGCCGATTTGCCAAAAATCCTATTGAGACTGTCGAAAACTCCTATTGATACTGTCGAAAAAAAGTTCCGGGAAGGGTTTTTTTGCTGTTTGTGGTAGCCGGAACCTTGATTAGGTTTTCAAAAGCGATAAAATTACGTCCAATGATTTTCTGATACTTTTAAGATGCCCAAATTGAGTTGATACGCATTCAGGTTTTAATGTTTCGGGTCCTGAAAGCTCCAAAAATTATGATCCTAAGCGCATCTGCGCTCCTTGTCGTTGTCGAGACCTAGGCAAAATGAGGGGTAGCTTCTAATAATTCCCAGACCGCTGAAGGGACTTACTGGTTCTTAAGAACTTCCAAATTCGTCAATTTCTTCAGTCCTTAAGCCTCACCCTGACCTCTAATTGAGCGCAAACAGTCCACCAAATTCAATCGTGTCAAAGTGGACTCCCCGCGTCGGGGTAATTACATATTCAAACCGCCCTCCTCACACACATTAGGGCCGGGGGCCAGTTGAGACCGGCTCCTTGGGGCCCAATTGTTGCCTTAATGTGAGATAGAGGGGCCAAGCATCAATTTCCGGGTTTGACTTGCTTGGTTTGACTTGGCCTGGCTTTCGTGGTCTGACTTGGCTTGGGCTTACCCGTAGGCTAATCGGACTTAGGATGTGCAAGGTATGATATTTTTCAGCCGTAAACCTCTATATGACATTGTTTTATTAAATTTTCTTTGAATCCGATTCTAATGAAGAGGAGAAAGGTTATTTGTCAATTTCGGTCAAGACGAAAAGATCTGGAAAAGTGATGCCAGGAAATCAGTGGAGTAGGGCAGTACGGTAGTTAGATGACACGAAAAAAGCACAAAATAAAGCACCAAGTCGGGGGCGAGGAAATGCAAGCTCATACGCAGGTGACAATGGGGATTTAATGAGGAGTTTATATCAAATCTTAAGAAGTGGCGATAAACGATAAAATGTGTTTTCTAAGGGAATTAAATGAACGTGTAAGCTTTAATGCGGTAAATTTTTAATTTTAGAAGCAAAATTGACGATATAGAGTCACTTTAAACCATTATTTTGTTATTTATAAATCCGGGAAATTTATTTGTAGATATTTAGTTTTACAAACACCTTTAATTCCACTTGAAAATATTACGTTCCTTGTAGTGAGATGGAATGTACACGGGGAGAAAGATTGTTCGGAGGGTTCAATTTAAATTTTCAGAAACTTTGCAAGTCTTAGGAAATTAGAAAAGCGATAGACTAGAGTTTACAGAGAAAGAGAGAGCGAGAGAGAGTGAGAGAGAGAGCGAGTGAGACAGCGGCAGAGAGAGAACGAGAGGACGGAGAGCTAGGGGAAATTGGAAATTTCGAATGCATGACCCGCACTAAATGGAGTGCCCAGCCGGCGCTCCTTAGAACGAAAAAAATCGAGAATTTACAGAATTTTGAAAGTTAGAAGATGACCAGAAAGGCACTGGGGATTTGCACATTATTTTTGGGATCTTCGAAAAATTTCGATAATTGAAAGGAAGATACAAACAAGTGAAAATGACAACTATAAATCCTGGTGGTTGCAGTTCTGGTTTTCTTGGTCCTGCTGGCGGTAGTGTTGGTACTTTTTGTACTGCTCGAACTGGAGCTGCCAATCGGTGATGTATTCGTGTTGCCACTTTTCCATTTGTTGTTTCCAAAGGAGGTATGGATCGCCGTAGTCCGCTAAATTAGGAAAAATTGTTTTAACGATTTCAGAGAGGCTAGAATAAGGGTTGCGACTTCAAAGTGAATTTAGAGATTGATCTATTTTTCGAAATTAACGTTTCAGAATAAAAATCGTCGAATATGGCACTAATTTCATGCAAAACTTGAGAGGTCTTCCCAAGAATCTCTGCTAGCTTGCCACGACCTCTCAAAAAAGTCCATAGGCTTCACTTACCCAGAGCTGACATCAAATTCGGCACATAAAACTTCCAGAACGTGCACTCCTTCTGTCGAGGGCCATGTCCTATCCGACGAGCGCCTAAACGCGATTTAACGGTGGACATCGTGTTATCCAGCAATCCGATAACGTTAAGTTATGCAACAATAAGGTATTTGACGTTACGGTAGGTATCTTACGATACGCTACGCGATGTGACGTTACGAAACATGAAGCTATTTAACACTACGATACGATTTGTTGATTTATGCCACCCGAAGTCACGATTTAGTACGCAGTGTTACGCTACAATACGATACGCTGCGACACTTTAGAATCTTAAACCCCTCCGATAGTGACCCACCATCATTGTACTGCGACTCGACCGTCAAGTTCATATACTCCATCGTCCCGGAGTGGTATTTGGGCCAGACGTCTTGCGTGTACGTGCCATCGTCATTTTTGTTCGGATCACTAAAAAAGGCGATCATCAGGTTTTAAAAATATTGTCAGGCGCAATAGAACCTATTCAAAACAGCAAAATTATGACTTTATTAATAGTGCTATTTCTGCGCTTTTTACCAACAATTTTTATAGAGCAATTATGCAATTAACTTTTGAGTTCCAACGCAATGGTTTTTTCATAAAATTGGATTTCAAGTTTGCAAAAAGCTAAATTTCTTAAAGAGCCATTTTTTGCAGAAATTCCTTACCCCGTCCTCGCAAAATTGGCCCAATATCGCATAAACCGGCTCGCCAGCTCCTGCTCCTCGCGCGTGTAATTGAACTTGGCCGTGTTGTACGGCTCACCGAAGATGAAGTTGATCTCGTAGCCATGCAGGACGCCCATCCACGCCGGCCACGTTTGGGCGGTGGCCCTGAAAAAATTTGAGATAAAAATCTCTTTAAATATTTCCGGATGCTAATTTCAAGCTTACGTCTTGGTCGAATTTCCTATAAGCCTCAATTCTAGCCTTAAACCACAGAAAAATATTTGAAAAATAAACGTAAGATGCGGACCTGTGCGTAAAGTAGTAATAATAGGTATCGCCTCCATGCTTAGTATGCGCTAGGGCCATCTCGTTGACGTTACAGGTGAAGTGGTAGTCGCCGAGCATCTAGAAACGGAGGTAGCGACGCACCTCTACCTTTCTCTCTCTCTCTCTCTCTCTCTCTCTCTCTCTCTCTCTCTTTCCCCCTACCTTATCCATGGTGTTGATCCAGTCCTGCGAAGTCACTGGGGACTTGTACGGCTCGTACTCGTGGATGATGGCGGCGAGCACGAGAGCACTAAAATGGAAGCTTATAAAAATCCCTCTAAAAGGTCATTGCTTTTATATAAACCTTAGATTGCGAAGTGTAACCTGGTTCTTATAGCGTAAACACTCACGACTTCAACATCTGTCTCGGCAACAACCCGTTGATCCCCCGCATCCACGTCGACCTATCGTTTATGAAGTTCTCGACGTGGAAGAACTCGTCGACTGGGAAGATGTCCTAAATTTATAATTATCGCTGTATCTCCCGCTCTCTCGCACGCACTCTCTCTCTCTGACTATCTCTTTCTTTCTCTCTTTCTCTTTCTCTTTCTCTCTCTCTCCCCAACCCTACCCCGAGCTGATAGACGATAAAGTAGATGCTCTCGTCGAGATTGCTGCCGAGGAGGAGCTCGGTGTTCTAAATTCGCATATTGGATTGAAAAATGAATATAGGCAATACCTTAAAATGACCCTGTCGAATGGCTGTGGCAGGAGATTCTGTCAAGAAATCGCCATCTACGACCGGAACCCATGGGAAGTCGGCAAATTCACGGACCGGTTCCCACTCATATTTGCTGAAAATCGGAAATTGAGATAAGTTCACTCTCTGTTTCTGCCTCTGATCTCTCTCTCTCTCTCGCTCTCTCCCTCTTTCTGTCTCTCGCTCTCTCTCTGTCTCTCTCGCTCCCTCTCTGTCTCTCTCTTCCTTGCTACTTACAGTAACGTTTCCGGATCCGCCTGCACCATGCACTTCAGCACGGCCTCCCGGTTGACCTGATGCACCGACATGTTGCCACAGCCCATCGCGTTATAGACGACCACGCTGCGGGCAAGGGCTATCTGCAAAAATTGTTAATTTTGCATAAGATGGGCGCCATGGCGTTAACCCTCCCGAAAATACCGTACCTCTCGAGGTTCCGTAGCCCACGGGGCCGTCGCGCTTCCGGACTGGAGAATGGATCGCTAAAACAAAAGCTTGAAGCTGTTCAATCAAAAATTAAAGTTTGAATTTTACAATTTTCATTCTAAAATCAGTTTTAGATTTCAATATCCTATCGCTTTTCAAACTTACATGAAAATACGGTGTAGATTTCGCAGAAAGCATGTGCATATTTACAGAAGCCGCCCCGGCCGACTCCCCGAAAAGCGTTATCCGGTTCGGGTCGCCGCCAAAGACGTCGATGTGCTTGTGGACCTGAAAAAAATCGACACGTCGAATCGATTACGAAAGGAAATCCTGGCTGTCGGTATCCATTGAGAGTGACTTACCCATTTCAGCGCCACCTGCTGGTCCCAGAGACCCATATTTCCGGGGGCCTCCGGCACGCCAAGGTACAAGAAGCCGAAGATGGTCACTCGGTACTGCATCGAGACGAGGATGATGTTTTCTTCCCTGGAATGGATGGGTTTTATTGCATTTTTAGGTTTTATTTGGCATCTCCTGAGTCGCTTTTCTGCCTGTAGCTCTCTCTCGCTCTCTCTCTCTCTCTCTCTCTCTCCCTTCCCCACTTTTTATCGTATCGCATCATGTCCCCATCTTTTTGCGCCTCAAAACCAAACCACAGTTGTTGCATTTCATCTCCAATCCATCATCGGCCACCCCACCCCTAACCAAGACCAGGTTTTCGGTTGCAAAAAAGCAGAACCCGGGGGCCAATGTCCCATTTTATCATCAATGTGCCCTGATGGGGGGCACAATCAGGGGTCGGTTAGTGCGTCACTGCTGGAAATGACGCTGGACAGCTGACCCCTCAGGGGGTCTTGTGTTTTTGGAACACGCATGCAAGTGATACCCACCCCACCTGCACAATAGTCTATGATATACTTCCTGTCGGGTGGAGAGGTACTTTGAAGGTTTGAGAGAGAGCGAGGGGGAGAGAGGTAGAAAGAGACACGGTCTTCTAGATGGTCGGGGTACTCACGTCGGAAAGATCTTCCCGTTATACACCTCCAGCGACGACGACCCGCTCCAGAAGCCGCCACCGTAAACCCAGACGAGGACGGCAAGGCGCTTGTTCGGGTCGATCTGAAAAAATAGGGCCTATTATTTATTAAAGGGGCATTAAAGGCACATTGAAGCCTCTTTGACGTATTTTTTGAATAGCTTAAGAAGTCTACAATCAGGCAATTTTTAAGCTTAAAGTTGATTAAAACTGCCTTTATGGTAAACGCAACTGGATTTTTTTAGAATTTAAAAATCTACCTTTCCCGGCACAAACACGTTGAGATACAAGCAATCTTCTGACATTTTTGTATTTGCGTTCCACATGGTGGCACCGAAAAACTCGCCGAAATAGGTGTCGATGCTCTAAAAAATTGCAGTTTTCTCTCGCCCACTTTCTCTATAGCTCTCGCTTGCTCTCTCCCTCTCCCTCTCTCTTTTTCTCTCTGTCTCCATATCCCTCTCACTTTTTCTCTTTCTCCCCCTCTATCTATGCCTACCTGATAGCAAGCATTCGGCAACACTGTGGCGTTAAAGACGTGCCGCCACGGGGCTTTAGGTTTGGGTTTTCGGAATCTAGAATTTTATTTGAGCTATATATTCATTGTTTACCGGCTTAAGCAGTCAAATATTGACTAAATCCACTTGCCTTAACGCCCCTACCGGCGGCTCGGCAAAGGGTATGCCATAAAATGTGGTGACTTGTTTCCCGTTCGGTGCGGTCGACTCCTCCCCGAAAAGTGGCGATCCGTCGTGCAGGTAGACGAGCTCATGGGATAAAACCTAGAAAAGGGGAGGGTTTAAAGGAGTTCTAAAGGTGAGCAGAGCGCTTCTAGACACTAGCTATTTCATTAAAATGTTTTGAAGGTGCGCGAACACTTTGAAATTCAGTCCGAATGTGTCAATACTTATTTTAAAAAATCACTTGCTCTACTCTTTCGTACTCCTTTGCGTGCTAATAAAAAAATACTGAAACGCTTTTAATTGTTTGATTTTTTGCAGCTAAAGGCAGGCTAGCACCGATACGTTGACAACTTTTTAAATGGTAAATCTTTTGAACTTGAAATTTTGAAGAAACTTGAAGGGGCTGGCCGAAATTTTTAGGAATGAGAGGTTAGAGACCCGGAAAATTTACTTTATTTTGTGTGGTTTTTCAGAGGTGGGCTATCAGAAACCTTTCGAGACTCATTTGAGAAAGCTTACTTGCAGCACGAGGGCCCCGAGGAGCGCAACGCGAAACATCAACTTTCGGGGGCTCGGCTTGTGCGCGTCCCCGTTTCAGGTGGCCAACATCAAGTGCGGGGTGTGGCTGTAAGAGAGCATTTAGAAACGTTAACCAGCTCGTCTTCTCGTGAAGAAGTATGAAAAAATTTGAGTTTGTGATGTAAAAAAACAAACATAAAATCTGCAGGCGTTCCGCAAATGCGTTTAAAGGGATGGCGCCAGGTAGATTTCCCGAAACATGGGGAAACAAAACTATTAGAGGCATTAAAACCGGGGAAGTAAAGAACAAGGCTTCATAGTCGCGACCAAGGCCGCTTTATTCAACCGGAACCTGCAAAAGCTGCAAAAAAACATCCTGCAAACCCCAATCACCCCCGGATCAGATCCGGGTTTCGACCAAAAATCGATGGGCACCCACCCGGGCGGCCCGCCCAGCTCGTGGCTCATTTTTCAACAGACCGCCCGGTCATCCTAGACGGCCTAGATCCTTGTCTTTGGCCACGGCAAAAAGTAGTTTCAAGCAGAAACAGTTTCGGAAAAAATGGGAAACGGGAAGCGAAAACATGGAACAGCTTGTGAGGCCTAGAAAAATTCCGTTGAGAACGTCAGAGGGTCGATTTTCGGAGCTTCAACTTTGGACAATTTTTTTTTTGGCCTGTCGTCACTACACGAGGCGATAGAAATAAATTACTTAACGTCAATGATGTATTTTGACCGTATGAATTAGCTAAAAATATTAGATCGTGTTTCCGCGGAAGTAGATCGCATTAATCCTGAAAGTTAAAAGCTTGTCGGTATCGCGCAGTCAGGAAATCTAAAGAGAGGGCCCCGACCCTATGAAAAATTTTAAGGTTGAGCAGGAAGCTTGTATATATAATAGAATTCCCGGAAAATACAAAATAAGGAGATTACAAATATAAATTCAAAAGTAGGCTTGTGCTCAGAATTTGAGCGCGACCAGAACGTGTCGAAGTCGATGAGGTATAGGTCGGCAATGCGGTTTTTTCCGCTTACTACTGTACTATGGCCAGCGGGTGCTTCAGGGTGTCCAGACAAGATATAACTATCTAAGAAAAACCGCCTTAAGCCAAAAATCAAGAAATCAGCACCAACTTGGCCAGGGGAACCGGCTGAGGGCCGGTGCATGGGCCACATGTGCGCCATACTATAAACCGGAGCAGCTTGGAAAAGAACTAGAGACAGAGAGAGAGACAACCAGAGAGAGAGAGAGAGAGAAGATAGAGAGAGAGAGAAAGCGAGAACCAGGGCAAGTTGGTGAAACGAAGCCTGGCTGGGCCCTTTTGGCCCGGGCCCCAGCCGGCCCGGTCTTCTTCTCACTTTGGACGACACGATTGTAAACTGACGACCACCACAAAGAGGGGAGCAAGAGGGGGCCCAGTTGGGCCCCTCTAGCTCCCCGTGGCCACGGCCTCGAATCACCGGGCCAGAAAAAGCTGTCAAGTGTCTGTGTTTATGTTCCTAATTTCGTCGGGTGGGGGTGACGCATTTGGGGGATTAAAGGGGTCGATCTGATCGGGCCTGTGGGTAGGAGGTATGGCGGAACTTGTTCTTTGGAGTCTTTGCAGTCTCGGTTGGTCCATAGGTCACTTGCGTGCTATGTATTGTTCTTAATTCGAAGTTTCTAGACCAAGCACCTTCAACCACATATTTTACGATATGTTAAATTTTATTAAAGGGTTGGTTAAAAGCTAAAAATTAAAGAGTCGTTGGCTTTTATATTCAGTTAGCTCGAATAAACCTATTTTTAGCCTTGTCTACTCTCTTGCGGGTTTTTAAGAAGTGTACTATAATCAACTGGTTTTTTACTAACTATCATACACCAAGCCTAAATTTCTGCTCCGAGAGTCGTATACAAAAGCCCCTCATCCCCAAAAAATGCAAATAAAAGGAACACCCGGCCGCACCGGATTAATTGACTTTCAGATAGACCCCATTTTTCTGTTCCCCTTGGCGCAATAATGAGGGCACCGTCAATTCGCCATGCCCGGTTTGGCCCACGTTTCCTATGAATAAAATTATGGAGAGATGAAGGGAATTTTTACCCAATTATACACCTTCCAGGAAACGTAAAGTGGAACGAGGCGGGATAGGGCTTATTTTGGATACGGTAGCGCCTCGAATATAAAATCAAAAAAAATGTGAAAATTGAGGGCTTTTCGAGGACTATTCACCGGTTTCAGACGTAAAGTGGAACGAAGCGTAATAATTTTTCTGGCTACGGTAGCTCGTACAATCATACGTTTCACATAGCTAAATTTTCATGGAAAAATGGAAAAATTACATCGCGGAATTCCAAAGAGTTAGCTGAAAATACCGCAGCTGAAATTTTTTCGCGAAATCGGCGGAACCTTCCAGGTATCGTATAAAACTAATAATTACAAAAATAAGCGGAGGCCGCTTCAAGTTTCCCAAAAAGTCTTTTTGTGCCCAATTCGCAGCCCACTTCGCCGGGTTGGCCGGCAGTAAATTCGGTAAGGTGGTCATAAATTCGGTGGGTGTGTCTACGTTTTCCGGGCCTGGCCGGGGCAACGACTCGACCGGGTTTATGGACTATTCCGGGGCCCTCGAGACGACATTTAGGAAAGAATTACTACCACTTTGCTGGGGAGTGGAAGGTGGCGTCATTGTGGATTTTGAATACCTGGTTAAAAGCGAGAGAGAGAGAGAGAGAGAGAGAGAGAGAGAGAGCGAGAGAGAGAGTGATAGAGATAGTGAGACTGAGAGAGAGTGAGAGAGGGAGCGAGAGCGAGAGAGGGGGAGAGAGAGAGAGAGAGAGAGAGAGAGAGAGAGAGAGAGCGAGAGATCTGGAGAACGGTAAAGAGCTAGAGCGCCAGAGAGAGTGCTAGGGGACGATAGAGGGCTAAAAAAGCGAGAGAATTCTAGGGCGCGCGAGAGAGAAACTTAGGTATAAAAAAATGGTAAATCCTTATTTCCTCATTTTTATAAATAACCCAACCCTCTCGAAATCACGGAACAAACAAAAAGCCACCGACCAACCCACCGTGGCTGCACAACATTTTGATGACCGGCCAGGGGGCAAACAAAAAAAAGAAATGGCGAAGAATTCGAGTGTGGAGGTGGAGGGTGGGGGATAGCAAATATGTAATCAGTCCCCCCATGGGGACGGCGTTGATCAAAAAATAGGACAGAAAACAGGGAGGGACGGATTCGTGGAATGGCAGCCCGGATCTTGCGCTTAATTCTGAGTCAGCAACTTGCTGGGATTTTGTATATGTTTCTGGCGATTTTGGATAGGCTTTTTTGGGTCCTGAAAACAGTTTAAGATTTCGTTTTGCAACTAGTCACCTTATCAAAGCCTTTATATACGTCTAACGCTTTTAAGAGCATAATTTTAAGGTAAAAACTATATAACTAATCGCTAAATTAGGCTGATCGGCTGAGCGTACCTTTTTACGACCTTCTAGTTTTTTTTCATTCCCTTGGAAGCTCTGTTTTATTGAAGTTTCAAACTACCGAAGCATTTTGGGTTTCTTAAGGTAATCTCGCAATAATAATTTACATAAATTGGAGCAGATCTAAATAATTGCCCAGAAAACTATTTTTTTTCTAAGGTTTACGGTATTATGTTAATTTCTACGCTCTTCCATTGCTTTCAAGGCACCTGGAAGGCAAAAGAACGTGCAAATTTGTACTTACAAAGAGAAAAATTGCGTACGTCCATGCCATGTAAAAGTTGAATCTTGAAAATCGATTTTTCGAAATGCATCTTTTCTAATTTTTCACGTTTTCTTCTTGGCTGTCATATTTTCAAGAATTTTTCGTCAGAAAGGGGAGTTCGGCACTTGCTTGTTAAATAATGAGGATCAAAAGCATGGCAAGAAATTAAAATTACAATCCTTGACTTCAGTATACCTTAAAAGTGCAAACAAACTAGCTATTTGAAAACCATTATTTTCCACCCTGTGAAAATTCGAAAACAAAGTAATAAGGAAGTGGATTGGGCGGTTGGCCCTACCCGAGTGCGGCAGGTGATATCCCGTTCAAGTGGTTAGGTGGGGGGCCCTAAAGCCCGAAGCGGTTCGCGGGCCCTCGACTCGACCCCCATGGATGGCCACTCCTATCAAGACCGTTGGTCTCGGGCAACTCGAGTAGCTTTACGCACTTCGTGGAATGATAGGCCTGCGGTTGGATCAACAAGGTGGGGAAAGAGCGAGAGAGAGAGAGAGAGAGAGCGTGAGAGACAGACAGAAGGTTGGAGGGAGAGGGAGTAAGAGAGAAAAAGAGAGATAGGCTAAGAAGTGGATCAACCAATCGGTTCAAAGAATCATTAAAACACCTGGAAAACTACAAAACACCCCTGCAGTTTTTGTATGGCCGTAAGGAGTATCAAATGCCGACATTGCATGTTGTTCGCCCGGCTTCGATTTGTATGCAAGGAACCAAGATCGAGTCCTGAATCTAAAAGAAGAAGCGAAACCCGGGCTAGAGTCTTCGAAAAGCCCTCTAAGTTTTTCGGCTACCTTTTTTCTGTGTGAAGATCATCAAGATTAAAAATACCAACGATAGAATTTGTCAAGCCTCTTAATTGATCCTGGATCCCAAGGGAAAACACCTTACTTAACAATGACAACTGCAGAAGCAAAAACAGCATTATGATGAACGATAAATGGCAGGTCTAATTTAGGATGATCAATAATTCATCAGATTCGGTAGCAATCAGGCTTTCCGTCGAATGAAAAGACCTATCCATCATCGCGGCGAGGGTGGCGGGACGAAAAAAGTATTTATCGTGATGTCTGCGTTTGGGCCAGCCAATAAAAACAACGACTTTCTTCATTATTCGATAGGATATTCGATTATGTGGTTAGACCAGGCAAGGCCAGCTAAAAGACCGATAGTTTAAGAGAAAAGAAGTAACTAAATATTCCTTGAAAATGGCGCATGGTTGGAACAGGTGACCGGCGGCTCCGGTGACCAGCAGAGAGCTGAGAGCTAGCCAAGACTAGACCAATGCGACCGTCAAGCCGAGAGGACTCTTACATTTACCACCTATTTTTCCGAAAGCTTAATTGTATTTACACACCTACAAAAATTAAGCAACTGTGCATTAATTTTAAGAAATCAACGTGATACTCAGGGATACCGGAAGAGCTCCGAAAAACTAAAAAATTGGAAACTTGGAACTTCAGGTTGGCAAAAAAGCTACTTTCATCCTGTCACCGCCCCTTTAAAAGCCAACGTGAAAATCGGAACATAGGAAATCCACGGGCTAGCCGACTAGAACAGACACCTGACTAGAACAAGTGGTAAAAATCGGTGTGCCAGTGTGGAGGTCGAGCTCGGCGCCTCAAGCTCCCCTCCCAAGGAGACGAATGGGGAACACGGGCTTTATTTGTTGGATGAGGATGAATGGGTCGGCCGTTATGGATCTTGAGAATCTCTTTAGCGAGGAGAGAGAGAGGGAGAGAGAGAGGGAGAGAGAGGGAGAGATAGCGAGTAGAGGTGTAACAGGGGCGAGACCAACAACGACACACACACGCACAGCACAGTTGGCCCAGGCCCGGCCGATCCGATCCGGGCAGGCATTGGTTGAGAGAGAGAGAGAGAGAGAGAGAGAGAGAGAGAGAGAACGAGAGGGAGACATAGAGCTACAGAGAGATAGAGAGCATTGGTTTCCCGGGCCGCTTTGGTATCCCTCGGCGAACACGCCTATCACGGGGCCCAGATTTATCGCCGGACGAGTGTTCCCGATTGCCCGGCTTGATCGAGGGGGAGGATGGGGTGGATAAAATCTGTGTTTTCTGGGACAAAAAAAATGAAATTCAAACTCTTTTGATCACCTTTTTCGCTCTACCACTCTCTCCCTCCCTCACTCGCTATCTCCCCCCCCCCTCTCTCTTTCTCTCTGCCTCTCTCAGGCCACTCTTTTTGTAGTTTCTTACTATTTATTTGTTCTTTCGACAATTTGCATCCAGTACCAGCAAGGCGTGCTAAGAGAGAATTTGAGGAAAATCCTGACGATGTCTAGTTTCAGGGCAAGCCAGCAGAGACACCTTGGGAATATCAGAATCGCTGACGAGTGGCCGGGGCATGCTAGCAAAAACAATTTGGGAAGCTTCCGGGGTCAAATTTTTTATGACCATAATTTTTTAGGAACCTGTAGCTATTTTTAACTCTGTCATCCCCCTTTAATATCAAAAATTACCGTAATGCTTGCTTAACACTGCATATCCTAAAAATTAATGATTCACCTTTCCTGTGTTCGAATCCACTTCCAACCAACTCCATTTATTAGCACCAAGCACGTCAAAAAAACCATATGTAATCATTCCGTTAGACCATGAGTTACAACCAAGAGAGCGAAAAAAGGATATACAAAAATCGGGCAGCTAAAAAAAGACACAATCAGGTTTAACCAAAGCTGAACCAAAAGACCTAGGGGAGAGTGGCACATTTCGGGGGAAAATTGCGGCCGAGGGAATTCGGGGGGAACACAGAATTCTAGTACACGTATCACATGATAAAAGTGGCGGCGGGGTGAGGGGAATCACAACGAATTTTTGATATACATATAAATACTTCGGATAGGGTATATAAGCTTTAGCAAAAAGAGCTAATTTATATTTTTTGAAAAATATCCGTATTCTAGCTATTAAATGGGGCAGGAAAATACAAATATTGCTAAAGAATTATGACATCAAATCGGCAAAAGGGTCGTTGAGCGAGGAGGCGGGTTTCTGGGGCGGCGCCGCCTTCGTCGGGTTCAGCGTCAGGCTGCCGAGGCTGTCGAAGTTCATCGTCGGCTGGCCGTTCGAGAGTGGCTGCTGTTGATGGCCCATTTGATTCATTGGCATCTGGAACGATCGATTTACATGGGAGAGAGAGAGAGAGAGAGAGAGAGAGAGAGAGAGAAAGCCAGAGAAACCAACCTTATTCCCAGCGGGCCCGAAGTTGAACAAGTTGTCGAGCGAGCTGCCCGGCTGCTGCGGCTTGCGCTGGATCGCCGAGTTCTGCGAGCGGGGCGGCTGGGGCAAGCCAATACCACCACCACCGCCACCGAAGCCACCCAAATTCCCGAACGAGCTGGAGGCCTGCATTGGGGCGGGCGTCGGGACCGAGGGTGCCGCTTGGAAGAGCGGGTCGAAGCCTGAAAAATGTACTTAAAACTTTGCTCTATATCTAAAAAACCAAAAATAAACGTCTAAAAGCCTCAAAAATTCTAAAAACTCACCAGCAAACGTCTGATTCGTGGCCGAGAGCGCCGGGGCGCCGGTGAACGCGCCGAAGCCGGAGAGGTTGGCCGAGTTGGCGATGGCAGCCGGGGTTGGAGACACTCGTGGGGGCGCTAAAAACGACGGGTAATTCAAAGAGGCCAGCCATTCAAGAATTAAAAGAATCGCGGTACGTTTGCATAATTAGAACTAGTTTGCAACTATAAGGCTCCCTAATAATCCAATAGAAAGTATTTTAATAGTGTTTTTATAAAAGTATTTTTTAAGGAAAATTTGTTTAAAAGCAATCCAAATACCATATCCGGTAATCTAACAAGTAAGTAAAAACGCACCCGTCGCCCCCATGCCCATCCAGTCCGTGTTGATGGTCGGCTGCACGGCGCCAGAGCTGCTCTTCATCTGGTTCATCGGCACCTTCTTGGACTTGCCGAGCGGGTCGTCAAACGCTGAAAGAATAAGCATAAAAAAATATTTACAAAAGTACCTTCAAGTAGAATTTATTTACAAAAAAGAATAGAAATTAAGGTACTGTACCGTTTGCCGTCGACGTCGCAGCCGTGACGGTGTTCGTCTCCTGCTGCTGGGCGAGGCGGCGCTTGTCCTCCAGGCTCAGCACGCCCTAAATTCAGACGTTTCGAAAGAGCGACGATCATACCGTATTATTCTGGGGCTTCGAAATGCCAGAAGCAGCGGCCGCCGACTTGGTGGGAGTCGGGTTGAACACCGAGTCGAGGGCACTCATATTTTCCGATTGGGGCGCCTTGGCGGAGAGGACGCCGGATCTAAAGTTTAATGAATAAATAAATACACAATAAAAAATTACTAATACCACTTAGATTATTTAAAAACGACTACATTTAAACTAGATTTATCTGAGACTCGAAAAATAAATTTAACGTCTAAATTTTTAAAAATCACAAAATAAATCTACCCCTGGTTAATAGCATCCCGGTCCGAGCTCATCGTCGACAGCTTCTTCAGGTGCTCTTCCTTGACCTTGTTGTGGACCTTCTCGATGAAGTTGACATATTGGAGGTATTGATCCTGAAATTTTGCACATATATCCTTTTTAAAAATTCATTTTACTTAAAAAAATCAATTTTCTATACCTGATTCAGCGACATATCAACAGAAGAAAAGACGAGGAACGGCAACGACGTCCGCGCCCACAGCTCGACGGCCAGGCTGAAGCCGGAGAAGATGCGCTCATAAATGCCTAAAACTTAATAAATTTAAGTCGAAAGTATAAAATACCGAGAATCGCCATCAACACGGCCGGCTCCTTGGCGGCAATCTTCGGGATGGCGGGGAAGATCTGGTCGGTCACCATCCATTCTTCGAGGTTGGGCAGCAGGTTCCCAATGCAGATCAGCGACTGGACGCGGACCTAGAAAAAAATTGCGTAAAATTCTTTAAGCAGTACAACCCCTCCTTTAGTCAATAAAAACTCGAAAATATCTTCCTAAAATTTGAAGGTTGGATCCCTTCCCAAACATCTGCAAGCAGTACGACTACTTTTTTGCAAATTTAAATTATTTTCGGGGAAGAGTACCAGCCATGCACCTGTTATTTAACAACCTTCTTCAAGCGTACCGCTCCTCTTTCACAGCAAAAATATATTTATTTTTCCTAAAAAAATGCCCAGTTGTGGGTACCACTGCCCAAGCATCTTCGAGCAGTTCGATAGCCCTATTTTCGAGCCCTCAAAAATTCCGCCAGACAAAAACACTCCAATCCAGTATCACTTGCCAAACTCTTCGAGAAGTGCAGCTCAGAACACGTAAAAAACTTGATTTTAGTGTCCTCGCCAAAATTCTGAAGAGCAAAAACACTTCAATCCAGTATCACTTCCCAAACTCATAGGATCTCCTCTCACCATCACCATCACCATCGTCCGCACGCAAATTCCCGCGCACGCGTCGCCAGAGCGGAAATCCGTGGTGGTGCTGCCAGCGGGCACCCCAGATCGACGAGGGTAAACAAAAAATTGTTTCGGTGCATGAGGCGCGCGGCGGATTAGGCGACGCGCGTGAAAAGGGGCGCAGGCGCGAATATGAAAAATCAACATAAGTGACGGGCCGGCGGGCCTCATTAGCCGGTGGGCAGCAGGGCGATGGTCATTCACGCGCCGGCTCGAAAAACGTGCCATCGTCACCTAGCCCAAGTCTATATGCAAATGAGGATGCCGTCTAGCGGCCTCTACCTATTCGCGGTGTCGTTTTTGCCAGGTAAGTTTAATCAGGCGTAGAATAGAACTTCAAGATGACCGTCCGCTACTCTTCAATAAAATAACCAAATCCGGAAACCGTAACTAACGAATTCAAGTGAAAATTCCGGCACTGGACTGTTAGTGGGGGAACTTATTCTCTATTTTCCTGGTTTAGTAACACAAAGGCTATTTTTATAGCGTTTTTTATATTTTTGAGTTCTAGGAAACGCTGAAAAATAGTTCAAAAAATTTATGCTTTTTTCTGAGCTTTTTATATCGTAAAATGCTATGAAGATTTATTATTTTTCGGTTTCGGGACAGCGAAAAGCCCCCCCCCCGCTAACAGTCCAGTACCAAAATTCTGACACGACTATGAATCTAATCCCGAATTCCAGCCCTAGCCGTCCCCCAAGTAAAGCTACAAGCCCTGAAGGCCACGAAAACTCCGTGCTGCGTGGATACGCTACTCCCAGGAGTATGCAAGTCAATGTACAACCGGGATCATGAGGTAAACTTCGTCAAAAAGCGTGACACGCCAATTCCAGAAATTCTCCGTGCTCTGCCGCACCAACCCCGACTTCAGCTTCATCCAGTGCTGCCAGTCGTGCCACTTCAACACCGACATGTTCACGGCGTTGAGTCTGTGTCTTTTTGGGAATTCTAGAAGTTTACGATACTTTCCGCTATCGTAACTTTTCAGCCTATCCAGTCCCGGCTGATCTGTACATGTACGACGTCGCCAACATGCTGGAGGCACCGAATCCGACATGTGCCGACCGACAATCCGAGAGTTGGTGTGAGGTAGGACAGTACTTGACTCAATTTTGAAGCCAACGGCGTTTTTCAGAACTTCCTCGCCCGTCGTGGCAGCTGGTTGCAGAACAAGGCCACCTGCGAGACGTCCGGCCTTGCCTTCCGCGTCTGCCGCAAGACATGCGGATTCTGCACGGCGTGGGTCCCCGGAGACGCTCACAAAGGCCAAGCCGGGGTGTTTAGGACTCGGCCGACAAGCGTCTACTACAACTCGACCGTCGCGAGAAGCCCCAAACTGTGCGCTAAGCTTGCCTGATAAAGTATTTATGATTTTGTCGCCAAAATTCACACCACACGTCTTCTTGATGTTGTTTTTCCCCAAAAGTTCCAAAATCTCTCAAGCCGAGATTTTCACATGCAGAAACCCGGATCGAGGAGTGGCTGGGGAGGTCCAAAAACAGCTCAGTGACCCGTTGAAGCCGCAAGAGGCCCCGAGGCGCGAAAAAGCAAACCCAGCGCGCGCCGTGTTCCCCCCAACAAGAACCAGCAATCCCCCGCGAACGATCCGACGATCATCGCCATGATAGGGGTAGACCTCCAAAAAGGTCGAAAGGCTCCAAAAGGCGTTCCTTTCCGGGCTTCTTCTCTCTCCTCCTCTGAACCCCAAAAAAAGCTCACACCTCCCCAAAAAAAGGGCCCGACTCCCCCCAGCCCCTTGGCGCAAATAGCCGCAGGCGAGGTGTGGGTGAAGTGAGACTCCGCCAGCGGCGGGGGTCCTCGGCCTGTTTGCCGAATCATGGCCCGGATCAGCACAAGTACAATTGTTTGACAAAGGCCTCCCCCCTCTTCTCTAGGGGGACCCCCGGCTCTACATTTTGTCTCTGGCCGACCACAGGCACAACACACCCGGCTCACCGCCCCGGATCGCCCAAATTTGCATACGCCACTTGGGGACTACACCGAGGCTCCCGAGTGCCCACTCAGCCGAATAGTTTTGACTCTGCGCGCGCTTCCGTGTACATCATTTTTTCGAATTCTGGACAGTGGAGCGTGTCCATGGACCGCAGGTGCTGAGCGTCAGTTATGAGGGCCACGCAGACCTTTGTTTTTGCCATGCTACAGCATGGCCTGATGGCGGTGAGGTCGACAAGTGAGTTTTTTGAGCAAAGCACTTTTATAATCCCTTCACCTCGCTATCGCCTTTTCGGGGCTTTTGCAATATCGGGGGAGGGGGTTTCTGTGTGCCTGGGAATGTAATAAAAATAGCCTATAGTTTTCGCTCAAATTTAGCTATATTTCAAGCGGAAAAAGCTCACAAAAAAAATAAAAAGAAGACTGACGAAAATGCCAAAAAACAGCCATTTTAGTTGAAAAATAGGTTTTTTTTATTATTTTTAGTATAAGTTGTAAAGTTAGAAAGACCAGGAAATAGTGAAAACAGTATAGAAACAGGCTTTAGAAATTTAGAAGCTGGTTAGAAAAATGGAGTCCTCAGGAAAAAAGGTTGTTCCCGCCCTCACCCCCCGGCTGCCGATACTGCAAAAGAGCCAAAATAATTGGATCCGATTTTAAACTCTTTATCCCAAGCTTCCGCCATTCCACCCCCTACCTTAACCTATACCACGCCCTAGTAGCAATTGCCCCGCTCGAGATCCATGGCAAGACGCCGTGCTGTATTGACCGGCTGACGACGCTGGCCTGCTCGAGGTTGGCAGCGACAAGAAAGCGCTACTTCGACCAACAATGCGCAAACAATGCCGACTTTGCGTTTATCCAGTGCTGCGCAAGTTGGTGAGTCCCGCTCATTTTGTGGAGCAACCAAAGTCTAGTTTCTCCAAAAAGACGCGCGGCGGGAAGCGGGCTTACGATATTTCTGCTAAAAAGTTGTTGCTCGACCCGTATAGCACGACTTGCACGGATCGAAGGGGACCGACGTGGTGTCACAAGATTTTGTCAAAGTAAGTCTAGGACCTTGGAGCTTCAGTGAAGCTCATTTTTAGCTGATGCTCAGCCGTCTACTGGACGTTCCTTGGGCGTTTTTCAAAAACCAATTTAGGCAAGACACCGCGTACGGCGTCAACACCGAAGTCTCGCACTCCTGCAAATCTTTCCCATTCGCGTTTCGCGAATGTCGACAGAGCTGCGGATTCTGCTCTTCCGGTCAGATCGGAAGTCGACTCAAGTAAGTGAATCAAACCGTATCGTCAACTTAAGCCGCATCGAGAACTTCAGAAACCTGCTATCTTTCAGGTACAACTACACGATCGCCACTGATCCTAAAAGATGCACCTCAAAAATCTATTACGCGCTAGACACGGACGCGCAGCCAACGCCTACGATTCGAATGCCAATGGGACCAAGAACCACTACTAAAATCGCAGAAGAAGTCCCCGAAATCGAGCCCACTACCCCAACTTCTCCTGATGACGAGATGCCAACCCTCGGTGTGTATTCTAATTTCACGGAGGGTCAAACAAGCGGACCAGAAGGCCCAGAACCTTCCGAAGCTGAGGTCATCGAGAAGTTGCTCTCGTTGCTCACCATTAACCCGGAAGAGCCCATGACCGAAGTTCTGAACGTAACTGCCAGCGAGGAACCGGAGCAGTCGCCGGAGACTACTACAGGTTTAGGGCACCGAGCTTGGCTTTAGCAAATCACGCTTGACTAGCTTACGCAAACAAAAAAAAAATTTGACTGCAAAAAGAGAGAAAACGCGCAATTCCCTGCTTCCGCTTTCTTTGCTTAAATTTTTCCTTGAAAACAAGCTATTTTTAGTTTTCGACCCCCTCGCCCATCTCGACCTCGACCGGCGGCGAAAGAAGCACAAGGGCTATTTTATCGCCGAAATCACCGAGAACGATCTCACCTACGCGGGCCCAAGGGAGCCCGAATTTTGAGCTAATTGTATAAAGATTAATGGCGCAAAATACACCATTTAGATTCCGCCCGGGAAATAGTAAACAATCTTGATTTTTCATAATTTTGGTTTTCTAAAAAATTTTCTACAATTTCCTACTACCCCTTTTCCCTCAAAACTCCACGAACCGCTAGCGTGTCACCGGTCGTAGCGAGCGCGAGAAGACGCGGCAACACGTCGGTCTTCATGTTGTGGCGAGAGATGAGTTTTGCGATTTTTGGCACGACGTTGAGGCAGATTTCCTGAATGCATGGAAATAGGGGAATCAAAAAGGCGCAATACCTGGATTCGGCCATTTTCATTTTTGATCGCACGATAGAGGCAGGGCAGGATGTGATTGTCGACGTCTTTCGGGTCGGCTCGACTCAAGAAAAGGTCAAGCTTTTCGAGGAGCAGGATTGTGATCTGAAATTGCCAAATTAGTTTTAAATATTTTAGTTTCATTATTTTCAAATTTTTCATCCGATTTTAAAATTCTATTTTTACAAAACCGATTTTTCCGAAAACAATTTTACCCTTGGATCCGATTTTTCGCAGTTAAATCGAGAAATGTTTCAAGATAGTGTGAGCTCTAGTTTCGTCAACAATATTACAAACCTGATACGGGCGTTCCATTGAGAAAACGGGCGCCAATTCCGGCATCACCAACGTCGTAAATTCCTCCTTGTCCGTCAGGTCGATGATGTAGAAAAGCGCGGGCAGGATGAAGGGGATCAAGTCGGGGTGCGAGAACTCGGCCGTCAAGCAGGGCCGAATTTTTTGGACGAGTAGGCGCTAAAAAGCCATAAAAAGCTATAACTCCTCTTTTACCTTCTCAAAATGGATCAGCATGTCCGGCAACTTTTTCAGCAGCTCAATCTTGACCATTTGCTCGTGCTGCATGAACGATTCGAGCGTTTGCACCGTGTCGAGGCGGTGGTCTTTGAAGAAGGGGATCTGGAAATGGATTTAATTTATTAAATCATCAACTATAATAAAAAAGTAGTGGTGTCTGTCCGTCCGTCTGAAGCCGAATTCAACTCGAAGGGGAAAGGAGCTAGAGCTTAGCTCTCTTCGGATTCGGATAGAGCGTGGTCAGAAACCCCCATACTGATTAAAAAATTATAAAAAAGTTTTGATTTAAATTATTAAAATTAACTTTGAAAGTTTTTCCCTTAGTAAAAAGGGGTGGGGACGGAGGTTGGGGTGATTTTGGACATAGTGAGCCAGGTCGCGCGCGTTTCGTGGATGAAGATTTTCACCGGGGGATTTCATTTCTTTTTTCTCTAATTCCATCCGGTCGGTCGTTATTTTCGTTTTTTAAAAGGATTTCGGCTAGGGGAGGTATCTTAAGCCATCGGGAATGTATTTAGGTAGTTTTTGAAGGGGATTTCAGCCATGGGGGGTATCTGAAGCCATCAGGAAGGTATTTAGGTAGTTTTTGAAGGGGATTTCAGCCATGGGGGGTATCTGAAGCCATCAGGAAGGTATTTAGGTAGTTTTTGAAGGGATTTCAGCCATGGGGGGTATCTGAAGCCATCAGGAAGGTATTTAGGTAGTTTTTGAAGGGGATTTCAGCCATGGGGGTATCTGAAGCCATCAGGAAGGTATTTAGGTAGTTTTTGAAGGGGATTTCGGCTATGGGGGGTATCTGAAGCCATCAGGAAGTTATTTAGGTAGTTTTTGAAGGGGATTTCAGCCATGGGGGTATCTGAAGCCATCAGGAAGGTATTTAGGTAGTTTTTGAAGGGATTTCAGCCATGGGGGTATCTTCAAGCATCGGGAAGGTATTTAGGTAGTTTTGAAGGATTTCAGCCATGGGGGGTATCTGAAGCCATCAGGAAGGTATTTAGGTAGTTTTTGAAGGGGATTTCAGCCATGGGGGGTATCTGAAGCCATCGGGAAAGTATTTAGGTAGTTTTGAAGGGATTTCAGCCATGGGGGTATCTGAAGCCATCGGGAAAGTATTTAGGTAGTTTTGAAGGGGATTTCAGCCATGGGGGGGGTATCTGAAGCCATCGGGAAAGTATTTAGGTAGTTTTTGAAGGGATTTCAGCCATGGGGGGGGTATCTGAAGCCATCGGGAAAGTATTTAGGTAGTTTTGAAGGGGATTTCAGCCATGGGGGGTATCTGAAGCCATCGGGAAAGTATTTAGGTAGTTTTTGAAGGGGATTTCAGCCATGGGGGGTATCTGAAGCCATCGGGAAAGTATTTAGGTAGTTTTTGAAGGATTTCAGCCATGGGGGTATCTGAAGCCATCGGGAAAGTATTTAGGTAGTTTTGAAGGGATTTCAGCCATGGGGGGTATCTGAAGCCATCGGGAAAGTATTTAGGTAGTTTTTGAAGGGGATTTCAGCCATGGGGGGTATCTGAAGCCATCGGGAAAGTATTTAGGTAGTTTTTGAAGGGGATTTCAGCCATGGGGGTATCTGAAGCCATCGGGAAAGTATTTAGGTAGTTTTGAAGGGGATTTCAGCCATGGGGGGGGTATCTGAAGCCATCGGGAAAGTATTTAGGTAGTTTTTGAAGGGGATTTCAGCCATGGGGGTATCTGAAGCCATCGGGAAAGTATTTAGGTAGTTTTGAAGGGATTTCAGCCATGGGGGGGTATCTGAAGCCATCGGGAAAGTATTTAGGTAGTTTTTGAAGGGGATTTCAGCCATGGGAGGGGGGGGGGTATCTGAAGCCATCGGGAAAGTATTTAGGTAGTTTTTGAAGGGGATTTCAGCCATGGGGGGGGGGGGGGTATCTGAAGCCATCTGTAACCATCTGGTATTGTAATAAAGGTTAGTAAGTTAGTACAATCGTTTTTAAATCGTACAAACCTTTGTAAATTGAGCCGCATCCGGTCTAATTGCTGTCGATTTGTTCAGGCACAACTTGAAATCCTCACGAAAGGTCTCCGGCATGCTTAGGGCCCATTCTGGTGGTACGTTTTTGAGCTATAATAAATTTTGTAAGTTTTTCGTCATAAAATACCTTTTCTAGCCCCTGTCGCAGCGTCTCCAATCGGTTTCTAGCCTGTATCGGGCCCTTTCCCTCGTTAAATATCGAGTAGGCGGTGATGGCGAGGGAATAGACGTCGGAAGCGGGTTCTCCCCTGAAAAAAAGCATTGATTTGACACTTTTATTATCTAAAAAGGGCCTTAAAAATTACTAATATTATCGATTATCCAACCTATGGCTCGTTATCAATTCCGGGGCCAAAAAGTCGATGGCCGGGATCAGCTGCCAAGGCGCGCCGCTGTCTATGTCCGAGCAATCGCAGGATATCTGGAAAAAATGATATTACCACTATATGTTTTATTATAACTTTTTAATATTCCATTATTTTAGGCTGTGGATTTTTGATACTCTATCGAATCGCTTCGAAAAATCTGGAGAACTAGCGAAAATTAAAATTAGAAAGAGAAAACTTGTTTCTTTTTTCAGAATCTCTAACAGTAAGAGTAACACCAACCCCATTCGTATCAGTCGTCGACGCCGTCATCGCAAAATCAAACCCGGCGAGCTTGAAATCCCCTTTTTCGTTTAGGATAATCGACGCCGGGCTGACATTCCGGTGCATCATTTTGGCGTCAACGTGGAGGAAGGAGAGCGCTTCTGCTACCTAAAATTCAAGAAGTCTTCAACAAGCTTGTATTCTCCGACAAACCTGTTTTAGTCCTATCCTAATTTCGATATCGTGGAGCTTGTAGTTTTTGTGGTGGATGGAGGCGGGTTGGGGCAGGCCGTCGGTGTGGCCGAGGACGTTGGCAAGGCTGCCGATCACTGGTTCCGTGCAGAAAATGAAGGATTCCCTGAAAAAAGATGGTTGTTATTTCGTATACTTTACATTATAACTTTTGTATATAGAAACTTGTATCATTTTTATATGTTTTTAGATGTTGCTTTATAAAGTAAAAACGAACCTGCCCTCCTCCAGCGGATGTTCAACAACCAAAACGCGTGGATGCCGGACTCTTGTAAGCTGGGAAACACCTCGTTTCAAAAGCTCGATAATTCTTGTCTGCTCATCTTTCGAAAATCTTTCCACCTAAAAATCCATAACCTGACCAAAATATGTTTTCTTACCTGTTTCCGCTCAAACACCCACACGGCCACGCTCTGGCCGTTGGACCGCTTCTTGCCCTTGTAGATTTTCCAGAAATGAGCGGGGCCGGCCGAGCCGACGAGGTCGCCCGGCTCGAAAAGCCGCAGCGCTGGGTTTCCGGCGACCACATTGCCGACCTAAACGATTTTAATGAACAGGAAAAGCCTCAAACCTGCTCTACAGCTTTTGTGACGGTGCTGCGTACTTTTTGAAAGTACTCCATTACCTGAAAGTGAATGATGAAGGATATTTGCATAAAACCAAAGAAAAAAAGAAAAATAACTAAGAAAGTAAGGAGATTTCTCAAAAGACGAATGCATTACGCGATGAAAACAGCCAATGGCTTATTATACTATAGTACGTAACAATACTATGACTCAATAAACGTTCCGATTGCGTTTCGTACTATGCACATCCAAGAATAAGTTTTACGGATGTAATTTTCTGACGAGAAAAAAATGAAATGGTTAGGAATCAAATTTTAATCGGTGAGACAGTTTTCTAATTCTTTACAGTTACAAAAGGGTAATCGGTAAATCGTGCACGCCTGGGGGATTTCGATTTTTTTTCTTTACCTTTTTTATAATAATCAGATTACATTAAACTACGTGATAATACACCGTAAATACGAATTTAAGGTATCGGAGCATACCGTTCACGTAAAAAGACTATTTTAGACTTTGAATTGTCATAATTAAAAATTCTAATATGCGCCGCTACCGACACCCAGCTGGCAAAGGTGGGCCACGGCATTCACGCAATGCAATGCACGGCATGTCAACAGGGGGCAAAGCAGGGCTACGGTCACTCGGACAGAGAATAGGGAGTCGCTCAGGCCAGGCCAAGGACACCCAAATTGCACCCTCCACGGTCCCGGATGAACTAGGTCGTACAGTCTCGAGTTCGATCCCGGCAATTTCGGCAAGTATCGATCCGGGATTTGGTACGTTTCTCTACTCCTTGCAACAGGGCGCATAGGAACCATTCGGAATTTTTTTATTTTCGCGGCGTTCCAAGTACCGTACCCGCTTGACTTTTACTGGACCCGTTTACTTTCCACTTTACGCCTTCTTATTTTTCTCTTTCGGGGTTTGAGACCATAAAATTGTACGAAAACGTAATGAGAAGCAACGCGGTCTCGTTTGACGTTCACTCAATTCTTAGATTTTAAGGGCTGTGTGACAATAAGCATATTTTGGTTCCTAGCTTCTCGAAATGACGTAATGGCCTAGCTTTAAAGTTGTAGGCACGTCAAACAATACAAAACTGTACGGAGAGCGGAATCGGCAAGCTAAAAAACCTCATTTAAAGCTGAAAAACTTGTTTTTTACCCAATTTTCAGTCTTTAAAGGGTTGGAACAAGCAAGGGCTTCGGTTCTTGGTCCGTGGTTTCTAAAAGCATCGTAATCCCCTATTTTCATACTTTTGTATGCCTGAAATCATTGTCTGCATGAGTTCCTGTAGTTTCTGATCCCATTAACTCAACCTCGCCTTCCTCTCGCTGCCACGCCTGATAACGATCTCGCTCCTGCACTTTGTGGTCAGATCCTCGGCGGTCGGGAAATCTTTTATTGTTGTTATTTTTTAGGTTTATAAACCATTCATGCTATTTAATAGTCATTTAGCGTTAAAATTTTCTTAATACGCCGATTTATTTACAAATTTTCAGCATAAATCAAATCTGCACGATGTACGCCCTAAAAGCAGCCGGATGTGTCGCGTTGCTCGGCCACGCCGTTTACCAATTTGAGGTGGGTTAAAGGAATGAAAATAGCGAGGTTTACTAAAATTAAATCATTAATTTAACAACATGCACAATTAAATAAAAATAATGAATAATATTAAATACAATCAATTCGTATAATCGCATTAAAAGCGTATTTTCAGCACAACCCCAGCTGGTGGTTATACTGCCCCTCATACGTCTCCGCCGCTTTACTATCGCTGCTCCCCTTCCCGAATTCCTACATTTGGAAACTACTTTCGTCAATTTCGGTGATTGGCGGCGGGCTTTTCATGCTATTTTTGGGTATGTTTTGTAGTTTTAATAAGGTTAAACCATTTAAAACGGTTTTCTGGTAACGCTAAGTACTTTAGAGGTATACTAAAGTTAAGGGCACTTTAGCAACCTTAAAAACGCAATTAAAACTCGCTAGATTTCAGCCTACACCTTCCATAAACTCGACGGAACCATCGGACTCGTTTTGGACGAGGGAAAAGCCCTGCTTCCGGTCTCTATGGGCGTCTTCTTGATTGCAAGTACACGACTGACCTATGGACACCTATCGTCGCCAGTGGAATATTTGAGGTAAACTGCCTTTCTGTAATTTTTGAAAACATAAATTTTAGGGGCTTCATCCTAACCGCCGTGCTGTTCGCCTCGGTGTTGTGCGCCGGTTTTTCGATCAAGTATTTGACGCTTGAGGCCTAACAAAAAAAACAATAAGAACTTTTTGGGATTTTCTATAAATTAAAGATACACGAAATCACATTTGAAAAGCAAAGCGTAGACAATAAAAATACCAAACCACACAGGTACACCTAATTACGGTTCTGGTGCGTTAGCGGGGGGAGGGGGATAAACTAACATTTTCCATGCAGTTTTTGAGCGTCTTTTAAAACAGCATTTTTCCCTACGTTAGATATAAAAATTTGTAAAAAATGGTCGAATTTGAAAAGTAGCAATTTTTTCGCTTGAAAATTGCGAAAAAGGCTAATTTTTAATTTTTGGAACTGTTAAGCTATCAAAAGCTACTCAGGCTGCAGAAAAAACCTGCAGAATTTTAGTTCCCCCCGATAAGAGGAAAGCACCTACTATGCAACTACCATATACACCTAATCACTTCCATTTCACCACCTCAATACAATAATTTTGGTTTTTCTCCTTAGTATTTGTGGACATTGTGCTGTTTTCGGCATGCCTTTCGGGTTCGCAATTCCTTTCACAACCGACGTCTCCTAGCAGCATCCCGAATTCCGGGCCGACCGGCGTCGCCTCGCCCATTTTTGTCCTACCCTGTCCCGCGAATTCCAGACTAATGGCGAACGTTGTACTATTCTTTTTGCTGGTTTTCGGAACGGCGATACGAGGTCGGTAGGGTATCATAACGTAAGCTATCAGTTATCGATTTTAAGGCGTATTACATCAAATTTGGAACGTTTCAAGCTATGAAAATAGCGCAAGTGGCTGTAAATTGAAGCCATACCAAAAAAAAAAAAAAAAAAGAAAAAAGCCCTTTTACTATTTTTTTGTAAAATAAAAAAGGATTAGGAAATTTCGTACTATTAAAATCATCAACTGCATATAAATAGCCGTAATAACAATACGAATATCTAAAACACTATTTTTAATTTTCACAAAAAGCTTGAAAAACTAGCCCTTTTTCCTTTAAAATACTTAAGTTTGGCTCGAAACTTCATTAAAAATCATCAAATGTAACTAAATTCTAGCTGTAGCTCCACAAAAACTAAAAACCTCTTTTTCTGCGTTATAAATCCACAAAGCCCTTGGTTGGGTATTTTTGCGTGCAAAGGTGCACATGTATTTCTGCGTATTCTGGTACGTTTGCAATGCGTTTCCAACCTTCAGGTGAAGTCAAGATACCTACACCGATCAGTTATTAACTTACCCATACCTCTAATCCCTTCAGAAACCCTTGCCGTTCTTTGCCAACAGTGCAACGGCTGGGATGGGTTGTATCCGCTACGCTACTCCACCGCCAGTACATGTGACAACAGAAATAATCAATGCCAGAGTACTCAGGTAGGTTCTGGGATTTATTACACCTGGTTAAGATGGTTTCTATCATCATCTTCCTCAAAATTATTCACCCCAAATCGCGTCAGTTCAATTCTGTGCATGTTTTGCCGCGGAGTCTGGTTTTGCTAGGCAACTCCCCGCGCGCACCATCCATTATTTAGCGCATCCAAGTTCGGGGCGGTGCGATTTTTGAGTTTTCGTCTAGAAGGGGTGAATGGAGGTCGAAAAAAAGCTTACCTTAAATATCACAATTAGAAATGACCAAATACGGCTACGATACTTAAAGTCAACTTTAAATTTTTTTTAGTTCTGCGTTAAAATTATCGACAACATGGCGCCGGGGACCAACTATGGCACGTATAAGAGTGATTGTTTCTTCGCGACACAACTTCAGGTGAGGGAGAGAGAGAAAAAGGGAGAGAGACAGAGAGAGAAAGCGAGAGATAAGGGTGAGAGAGCGAGAGAGATAGTGAGAGATGAGAGAGAAGATATTAAACTGACCAACTCCCAGATCAATCCAACAAACTTGACAAATATCGTCAACCGACAATGCTACCCCTTTCAAGATGGATCAGCACCTGTAAAGAGGTAAGTCCCGTACTATTGCCTTAAAGGAACTAGGAAGCGCCAAGACTAGCCCCTCCCTCTGACTAGGTCTAGACAGCTGCGTCAAAGAAAAAATTCTGACTCTAATCAATTTCAAAGAAGCTTACATGTTCATTTTGTCGTTTCAAGGAGCCGTCTAAGCCCAGTGCATACAAGGAGCCGATTCTCACGCTTATCACTCCCTTTAATAACCTATACAATCCTAGATACTACTACTGCTTCTGCAACGACCGTGATTTCTGCAATAGCGCCCCGCGAAGTCCGCTAATTTTAGCCCTCACCCCCCTCCTATTGCTTATCCACTCCATTATTTGATCGGGATCACGAGGTGGCGACTTGGCGGGTCGTCGGGCTCCGCGCGCGCACGCGTCAATTTTCTATTTATTTTCCCACGCTTTTTGACAGCGATCGGTCGAGGGGGTATTTAGATGTCGAAAAAAGTGGGGGATTCTGGAATACTCTAGCGGCTATTGCGTGTGTGCCAGGAGCTTGACGGCTCGCGCGTAGTCTCTTTACTACACTCTTACTACACTCATACTTTTTCTGTGATTTTCAAAACAAACCTCATGTATTTGCCAGATTAATAAAAACTAACAAATGATACTATCGTAATATTTTTTGCTGAGCAATAGAGTACCAGTTGACAACGCACAAGAGCTTTAGACGAGACGAAAGACCTAAGACGTACGTCTAGAGAAGTGGTAGGTAAGCTACGATGTGTTACTGTCAACGCCTCGATGTAATACTCTCCTTACAGACAGTTACTTTTAACGCTAAGATACTGTGCGCTCATTGCAAATTTGTTTTTGCGAGTTTCCTTGCCCCTATAGGGTGTGCGCACAAGGTCTGCACGGCTCGAGAAGTCTCGCGCCGCCTACGTTTTACTGCGCCTACCACCGCAACCAATTGCTAGCACAAGGGCAGTACGACTAGAGGAAGCCCGCGTAGTCTACGCTGGCACGCACGCTGTACTGCTCTTAGCACCTAGATGTCGTGCCACGGTTCCCAATCAGGTTTTGTGCGTGCTATTTGTCCCGCGCACTGGGTACGTGCGTCTAGAGAAAGCGCGCGTAATTAGAGCTAAGCTCTACGCGGCGTTACTTTACACGCCTATATATCGTGCGCGCCTTGCAGATTTGATATTTTGATCTTTTCCATCTGTTGTATGATCGGATTGGCCGCAGCGAACATCACCACCTCACCTCACACTTATTTTTAACTCTAAATCTATCCCGGTAATCCCATCAGAGATCACCTCCACCCGGGGATCTCCACCGAATCCACATATCGCCACCATATCACCAGGAAAAAGCGGCTAGTGATCTCTTTGAGGGGGGCCAACAACAAACCAAATACCAGGGACACAGATACGGGCGCCACTACTACTCGAGACTATCTCCCCCCTAGATCCGTCTGACTAGGCCGGTGGGTCTAAAGCCAAGGAGGTCCGTTGGCAAACAACCACATGCTACAAGTTCAACCAGTGTGGACAGTGGTATCACTTTTTTAGCTTGTAGTAGTTTTGTCTATGAACTAGTAGTTTGTTACCCATACCTTGGGGTCCGGGGGGGGGGCGCTTTTGAGATAGCAAAAAAACTTATAAAGGCTGCAAAACCGGACTCAACGTATCAAATTAAATTATTTTTGTGACTTGAAAATTGCTTAAAACGCGCTGAAATTCGAGATGTTAAATTTAATTTTCGTATAACAAGCAAAACAGCGAAAGTTCAAAATTGCCAACGCTGAATCTCAAAACCTGCTAATCTCGCTAAATAATTTCGCTTGATTTTTTAATTAATTCAAATCTGTATTATGTCATAAAAGTGGCAAGCATATCGGCTACTAAAAATGATTTGGGCCATGTTTTTCAAATAGCTTCAGCGTGCATAAGCTTAAGATACTTCGGCTTAAAATTTGCACAACATGCGTAATCCTGTAAATTCTCGACATTTTGCTGACTTTAGCTAAAAATACGCTCAATAGGTCTAGAATCAGGTTAAACTTTGCTATATTACGCCATAATTAGTTAAATTTCAGCTTAAAGTAGACTCACGCTTCTGAAAATTGTAAAAAGTATCCCTATTATCGGCTTCCTCCTTTTTGCTTTTCTTCGAAAGCATTTACCAGAAATTAATCAAGTCTTCTAAGCGACGTAGAGCCCTTCCATTCCCCCCAAAATCACCCTCCACACCCCTAACAAGATCTCTGTGTAGCCGCTACAAGTGTTCCACACCTCAACACATTCCCCGACACAACTTTTGAAACCTTTCAAGAGTGTTCACGCCCTACCGATCACTAGCCGACCAGATCAGAGCCATTCACAAGAGTTCCGAAGATGGGTTTCGTGTTTTTCTGCGGCCCGGCTTTTGGTGCGTTCCTCGAGAGCTTTTCGGGTGGGACACGTAGCGGCGAGGTTCTTTGAAGAAGTAGCAAACTTGTGTCGGTGTGTGTGGTGTTTTATGTCTCGAGTGTTGCCTGGGACGCCCCAGAAAAAGTGCTCGATTTGAAATCGGTGGAGCGTGGGATGGTAAAGATGTCATTGGTTCGATTTCGATGGGCTTGGGCTTAGGCTTAAGCTGAGGCTTAGGCATAGGCTTGGGCTGGGCTTCGGTTTCGGCTTGGGCTTAGGCTTTGCTTATGCTTAGGCTTAGGCTGGGCTTCGGCTTCGGCTTCGGCTTGGGCTTAGGCTTAGGCTTCGCTTAGGCTTAAGCCTTGGGCTTAGGCATAGGTTTAGGCTTAGTCTTAGGCTTTGCTTATGCTTAGGCTTAGGCTTAGGCTTAGGCTTAGGCTTGGGCTTAGGTTAGGCTTAGGTGAATTCGACCTAGGCGGATTAGGCCTTGGCTTAGGCTTTGCTTAAGCTTAGTTTTGCTTCGCTTAGGCCGATTAGGCTTAGAGTTAGGTTTTGCTTAAGTATAGGCGGATTAGGCTTTGCTTAGGCTTATGCTTCGGCTTAGGCTTAGGCTTACCTGGCTTAGTCCTTGCCAATAATTACTTATTTGCACCCAAAACCGTACATCACATCCTGGGAAAATCTCGAGACCAGGTTTCCCCAAACCCATCACTATTTCGAAAGCTTTTTTAGACTGGAACTTGCAGCTGCGCGTTTGCTAGGGGACAATTTTGCAGCTTTTTGTCGAGTACTTGTCGCTTCAAGTCAGAATTTTCCTGGTGCGTCACTGTGAGCCTCGAGGGGGGGCTAAACTCTCAACTCAGTGTTGATATTCCAACGAACACTACACTCTCTCATGGGGCCAGACAGACGTCTTGGAACGACTTTGTTGGGATTTTCATTTGCTGGCGGTTTTGCAGACCTTGGTAGCAGAATTGTGTATGCTTTAAATTTTGAAACTAATCCACTTCCTCACCCCAAAAAGGCACAGAAAGCTCAGCCTTTAGAGTTGTCTAAGTTTCCTAAGCCTAAACCTAAGCCTAAACCTATACCTATACTCAAACCTATACCGAAGCATAGGCCTAACCCAAACCTAAACCTAAGCCTAAGCCTATGGCTAAGCCTAAACTTAAGCGTAACCCTAAGCCGAAGCCTAAACCTAAGCCTAACCTAAGCCTAGGCCCAAGCCTAACCTACCCTCAAAACCGCGTCCAAAAACCAACCTCCAGACACATCGAGGTACAACCCCGGGACGCTACTCTAGTCCCCAGCAAAAACCTTGCCTTCGATCTCTCACCTCTCATACTTTCCGCATTTTGAGTGTGTCCACCTCTGTTGCACCCACACCGGCACTCATAACGCCCAGAGCTGGGGTACTGTAGCTCGCTAGTCATAACATCTGGGAGCCCCACCCCCACTTGAGGAGGTTTTTCAGTTAGTTTTCTTCTTTCACTCGTTCTAGCTCTCGCTCGCTCTCTCTCTCTCTCTCTCTCTCTCTCTCTCTCTCTCTCTCTTTTCCTCAATTGTGTGATTGCTGTTCTTCTCGCCTGTTTGCCGGCCTCGAGGGTCAACACCAAAAAAGTTACAGAGGCCAGCACCCGGATAAAAGCCAGCCCGGCAAGGAGTTCCGCCAGCTGTACTTCCCCTACAAACCCAAAGCCTAAAAGATGACCGAAGTTGAGCAATTGCCGCAGACTGCCGAATTCAAGGACCCCGTCGAGCCTCAGGTCAGTTTGCCAGCTGCTCTGGCAGTACTTGTTGATGTCGTGGAGGAAACGGTAGGAACATAGCTTTTGTATTTTTATATAAAAACCAGGGTTGAAAAACCGCTTCGCGGCTTTTCAACCCTGGCCCCGTCCAGGACCTGTGAAAGTCCTTAATTTGCATGTTTCTTCCTGAATTCTAGCAAGAAAAAAGTGAAAACGGCTCCCCTGTCCCTTTATATAGGCTCTTCCTACTTCCGGCGCATGCTAATTTCCCCTAACAAACAGGGTTTTACAAAAACCTATTTTTAATAGCGAAAACCACAATTTTTCAAAATTTTTATGTGTGTGCAGTCGATTCCGGACCATTCTAAACCTATTGTCGTTTCTTCCCTATCCGAAAAACCCTTTCCCGAGGCTGTAGGAGCGGAACATCCTAACGGAAGTGCATGCAAATATACACACACACACACACAAACACTATTTTTTTATATATAGTAGGATCTAAATGAGTTTTTAAAAAATAAAAGCTAAATCTAAAAAACTCAGATATCTTTTCAGACACGGAGTAAATGCTATTAAATTGTTTTCCATTCTCGGGTGACTACGGAAACACGCAAAAGTTACCCCCGCTAATGAAAAAGCACTTCAGAAATTGTCTAGATTTTCCTCATCAACATCAACCAGCTATAAATTAATTTATATCCAATTACAGCACATCTTCATTGGACGCCGGGATGCCGTCATGAAAAACGCCGACATGCCACAGGAGATGCAGGACGACGCGATAGAATTGGCACAGCAGGCTATCGACAAGTTTCGATTGGAAAAGGTTCGGTTTTTTCCTTGCGCAGGCATCCACCTCAAATCCAAATCTAATTCCCTCTCCGATTCAAATAATCATCCGCATTACAGAACGCCATTCAGGAAATGGCAGCGTTCATCAAAGCCGAATTCGACAAGCGGCACTACCCATCATGGCAGGTTGGAACTTTTAATGCTCTTCTAAAAAGCTAAAAAACTAAGAAGTATACAAAAACGTTACATTACTCCAAAAACCAGCACAAAATAACATAAAGCACTAAAGTAAACCATTCGAAACTTTAAAAGTTTCAAAACCTTTTCAAATCCATGTAAACCACATAATTAATGCGGTTAAAACTTCTCAAAACGCTAGTAACCGCTAAAATACCTAGAAAACTACGACATTAGTCTGAAAACCAATGCTTAGCTAAATACAACATCAACTAAGATTTAAAAAGGTTTAAATTCGGGTTCTATACTGATAACGGGGTCCTTAAATTTTAACGGGGTCCTTAAAAAATATCGGGGTCCTTAGATTTTAACGGGGTCCTTAAATTCTGCGGGGTCCTTAATTTTTAACGGGGTCCTTAAAAATTATCGGGGTCCTTAGATTTTATCGGGGTCCTTAAAATTAAGTCGAAAAAAAGTTAAGGACCCCGTTAAATAACGGGATCCTTAAAAATTGATGAAAAAAAATTAAGGACTCCGTAGCTAAAGCTAAAAAAATAGTGTTTGTGTGTGCCAATCTGCATACAAGTTCCGTCACCATGTCCGGAGGATATCTCGATAGCCGCTGAGCTTTAAGGTATGTATGATAAGTTATTTGATCCGTACTGGCCGTGAGATGACTGCACACTGACCAGATTCAACAAAACCACCTATTTTCGACATTAAATTTAACTTTTTGTGAAAGCTTCTTTGTTGGGAATAATTAGCATAGACCGGAAGTTGGGATTCGACTATAAAAAAGGATAGGAGAGGCTATTATTCATTTTTTGGCATGAGAATTTAGGACAATTATGCAAATTGAAGGATAAAATGGGGTCAGACGGGGCCAGGGTTGAAAAGTCGCGAAGCGGCTTTTCAACCCTGGTTGGAAACTAGAGATGTTACGCATACCGACGCGACGTCGGGATAACATGCAAATTGGGATGCAAAGTCCAAAACAAGCTTGATAAAACGATTTTTTGCACCTTGCATCCTAATTTGCATTTTATCCCAACGTCGCGTCGGTATGCGTAACATCCCACTATATATAAAAAAATAGTGTCTGTGTGTTTGTGTGTCTGTGTGTGCCACTTTGCATCCACTTCCGTCTGTCTGTCCAGAGGATATCTCGCCAGGGGATGAATTTTAAGAGATGTATGATACGTCATTAGGTGCGCAATGGCCTGGAGATGACTGCACACGTATCAAATTTTACAAAATCAGCTATTTTCGACATTAAATTTAATTTTTTGTGAAAACTTCTTTGTTAGGAATAATTAGCATAGACCGGAAGTGGGGGATTAGACTATATAAATGGACAGGAGAGGTGTTTTTCATTTTTTGGCATCAGAATTTAGGACAATTATGTAAATTGAAGGATAAAATGGGGGGTCAGACGGGGCCAGGGTTGAAAAGTCGCGAAGCGGCTTTTCAACCCTGGTCTCTATTAGAAACCCAGTAAAAGTAGGCCATAGCGTTTACGAAACATTCGATGTTAAAATTTTCTCGGGATTTTTTCTTGAATTTTAAGCTTTTTTCATTGTTTTAGCAATGTGAAGGAATGCTAAATCGATGACTGATTAAAAGGCCGTCCGCCGGCCGGTCGAACTCGAAAAGCTAATTGTTTCCTAACGAAGTCGATGCCGGAAATTTTTACAAAAACTTAAATTTAATGTCTAAAAGAACTGATTTTGTAAAATCTGGTCAGTGTGCAGTCATCTCACGGCCAGTACGGATCAAATAACTTATCATACATACCTTAAAATTCAGCGGCTATCGAGATATCCTCCGGACATGGTGACGGAACTTGTATGCAGATTGGCACACACAAACACTATTTTTTAGCTTTAGCTACGGAGTCCTTAATTTTTTTCATCAATTTTTAAGGACCCCGTTATTTAACGAGGTCCTTAACTTTTTTTCGACTTAATTTTAAGGACCCCGATAAAATCTAAGGACCCCGATAATTTTTAAGGACCCCGTTAAAAATTAAGGACCCCGCAGAATTTAAGGACCCCGTTAAAATCTAAGGACCCCGATATTTTTTAAGGACCCCGTTAAAATCTAAGGACCCCGATATTTTTTAAGGACCCCGTTAAAATTTAAGGACCCCGTTATCAGTATAGAACCTAAATTCGTTCAAAAAAAGAGCTCGTTTCCAGGTCGTTGTCGGCAGCAATTTCGGCTCGTACGTCACGCACGAGACCAACCGCTTCATCTACTTTTACATTGCCCATATCGCGTTCATGTTGTACAAAACCGGGATCTAAATTGACTGTTGACCCTCATCAAATAAATTCCAGATCCTCAATAAACCAAAATTCCAGAAAAAAGACTGTATTAGCACACACACAGAAAGGAATACACAGCAGCACGAGGAAATGCGCGGGGGTCATAGTCACATGGATATACAAGGGGGCGGCTGAACCTGAAAACACCGAAGTAAGTGAAGCATTTGGGGGGAGGGAGATGCACAGTTTTTGGGTGATGGAAAGTAACAAATATGGTCAGGGTGGCGGCGCGGCGAGAGAATCAGAGATGAGGAGACTTTGGTCAAAAAAGAAGAGTACAAGTTTGCGGTGACTACCAGTCCTTTGCAATTTCCAGCGTCCACTCCCACTTCGCGAACACGTTCTTGTAGTCGTCGGTGAACTTGGAATGGACCTGAAATGAAATGAATGAAAAAAATCTATGGTAACAGACTTGATTAAAATAAAAATTATGGTTTTTGGTAGTAATTTCGTGAATTCGAATTTTCCCTACGACAAAATTTTTTAATCCGAATTGTTGCTAACCGTGAAAACTATCAAAACAAAACCTATTAAAAAAAATACAACACAAAAAAAACCGCTTTTTCGAAAAAATTTATAATTTTCAGGCAATTGCTAACTAGTACATCTAAATACAACTAAAATACAAAATACATCTAAAATTTTCTAAACAGAGTATTAAAATATTTTATATAAGGTTCATAGTATCTGGACATCTAGGAATTTCGATAAGGAGGACATCTCGGGTTTTTTTTGCGATAAAAATTCGCGATTTTCGTACAAAATTTCAAATTTTGAAACAGATTTAAAGTTTTCTAAAGCACATTCAGATCCGATGCCTAAATTTTCCTTGAAACCGTGTTATGGCATTAATATAAGGATCTAGATGTCCCGGCAAAAAACCTGAGCAAAAATTAATAAAAACGTAGAAAATTTACCTTATATTTCCCTCGCGACATCATTCCGGACGGTGCCTCCTCCGATGGGGTTGTGTAGGTGATCAATTCGGACTTCGGGCCGTAGGAGCCGACCATCAAGTGCTCGTTTATCACTAAAAAAACAAAACATAAAAATTAACGACTAAACCCAACCTGGAATCCCCATCTTCGTCACTTTATGCGAGTACCGCAGCCCGGTCACCATTTCGCGCTGGACGTAGAACTTGAACTGCAGCTTATAGTGGACGCCTTCCTGCAAGAGTTTTTGGCTGGAATCTCTGATTGGGGAACTGAAAACAACCAAAAAAGCGAACCTTCAGCCTGAACGAGGTGGATTCGAGTTTCTTGCTATCCGAGAGGTCCTGAACGGCATCGGGACGCCCGTCGACGAGTAGAACGATTTCGCGAAGGAGCACAACTTTCGGGTCCGCGGGGTCCACGATCTAAGGAAAAATATATTATGACGATAAAAGCACAAACCACGGCATCGACAGCATTTCCGAGAAGCGCCTCCTTGTACCTCTTCAAGCTTTCGTCTCCCTAGAAAAAAGTGAATTTAGGATTTTTTGCATGATCGGGGGGAGAGGGAAAGAAAATTCTTTTCTTAAGAGCCTTTTTAATAATATGACCAAACGCAACAAAATACAGATTTTTCGACCAAAAAGGCAATTTTTTTCACCAAAATCTAGACTTTTTGAAATTTTTTTAAAGTTTTTAGATAGATTTCTAGCCAAAATATCGTTTTCTTCTGCTAAAAACCTTACGAAAATACTTCCTATGAAGATACTAGGCATTTCTACATTAATACAAAAAAATTGTCCCCCCCCCCCCGCAATGCGAAAGAACCGAATCGAAAACCCTAAAAAACTGACCTCATCGCAGGCCAGGATCTCCATGACGGACTTCTGCACGGGCGGCTTGTAGAGGGCATCCACCGGGTTCTCTTGGTCGACATCGTGGGCTTCCTCGTCGCGCGCCATCTCCTGGAAATCAAAAAGTTGATGCCATAAAAACATCAAGAAAGTAGAACAATTCTTGAAAACCAGGAAAGACAATAGAACCGTAATTCAAGGGGAATACGCACCAAATTGAATTCGTTGTTAGGCCGCGCCAAAAAAAACAGCAGGGACGTGAAAACAACAAAAGCCGCGGGAAAATTTGAGCATGGGGCCCTACAGATAAGCTTTTCTGTACACGTTCCAAAAGGAAAAACAAAGCGCCGCGTAAATTTTGACTTTTCTAGAGGCCTAACAACGGCTAAACGACTAGAGAATGCTTAGAATCAATAAAAGAACACCGTTTTCAGATAGAAAGTCAATAGACGCAGCAGGTAAGTGGAAATTGAGCGAGCCGCTATTGTGAGCAGCCATAATGCAAACACAGTGGCAGCAGCAGCGTTGAAAAGCCGTCTGAACGGGGGCGCAAAGTGCTGTCGGAATCGATGGGACGCTTGGCCCGGGCTGGCTATGAATCAGCGGTGCATGGCAAATGAGCGACGGGGGCAACTGTGGAAGTCAGGGCGACCGAAAAGCGAGGCAACAAAGCTGCGGGCTGTTTTTGAGAACGCCAAATTGGGGGTGATGAGTCAGCGAGTAATTTATCGTGCAGAAAAACGCGACGCCTATGATGAAAACGTTATAAACATGCTGGGATAAGCGGAAACTATTCTAAACGGTCCATGGGCGCGTGAAAGAGCTCCGAAAACGCTGATAAGAAAGTCAATAACGAAATCACATGGTTTGGGGCTATTTTGCGAGCAATAAAAAGGAAGAAAGGGTCCAAGGTCTTTCGGAAAATCAAACGCCGTTTTGGGGTATTCCGTACGCTCCACCGTACGGAAGGGCGAAAACTGTTGTGTAACGTAGCGATCACCGATTCGCGAATTAGTGTCGAAAATCAATCCTAACGATTTCTACTGCTTTTCTAGAGCTTTCAAATGCTGATAAAAACGTCACCAAATGTTGTGTGTTTCACCCCTATTCTGAATAAATAAAAAATAAAAAAAGATTGCAGTTCCAAACCTTTTTCAAAATCTAGAAACGTTTGGACGTGTTCCGTCACGCTCCTCATTACGGCAAGCCTACATAGGTGCGTAACGTAGCGATCACTCATTCAAGAGTTTAGCGTTGGCAATTTTACTACTTTCCAAACTGTCCGATCTGTAAAATTCGCGCGACCACATTCTGCTAGCAATTCGTACGAGTGCATGGCCGAGGCTGTGTGCTGGCGGAATGAACAGGGCAATGAAAAACTGAAAAGTGTCGGGCCCGGCGGAGAGTTTGTTCAACGGCTTAGAAATTGGCAGGATTTCGCGACGTGTCCGGTGCGGCATAACGTAGGTAGCCCACGCGTAAAGTGGGGGGAAGAAAACGTCATTTGTTCGTATAGTGCGTAGACTTTTGAAAAGTTAGAAAACGTTTGGGATTGACAACAAAGAAAAAGACAAAAGTGGGAATTTGATAAAAACTTAAAAACGGTGCTTTTTCTCTAAATCTTGGCCTTCTGCACTTAAATCGCTAAATAATGTAGCTCATAGGTCTTGATTTTCGACATCTTATGCATTACTTACTTTTCCCAACTTTCAAAACCTTTCAAAACTTTTAAAAAGGACTATTTAGAGAAAAATAAATAAAAAGTTGCTTTACTGATGGAAAAACTGATAGAAAATTAGAAAGAGTAGTTTTATATAGCTGCAGGCGTTAATTTTGCCAATTTTTATTGTATGAATTACTTGTATTAGCCTTTATCAACGGTCTTCTACCCTCACGCTTCCTTAAAAAACTTTTTATTCTATATTTTAGAGCAATAGTAATGAGACACTGAAAAAAAGATGTTTACTAGCTCGTCCGTGAACAGGAGCGTTGTTCCGGGGGGTATGCGAGCGCAAAACGGCCAGTCCGAAACCGCGAATTTGCATCGACGATTAGAGGAGGGAAGGGGTCGGAAAGGGGCTCGGCGACAAGACGGGTTCGATGAATAGCCGATTTTCCGCCCATCTGTGCCCACCCCAATTTTGCGGAAACGACCCCCGGCGTGAGGTAAAACCTGGAGGGCCCGGCCGGGGCGGCCGGGCAGAAATTATGGCTGCACATTGGTCAGCGCGTATGACGCGGTTATTGCCTGAGGAAAAGCATTTTTAATTGTCGGGGTCGGGTGGACACGCGAGGTATTAAAATTTTGGCCTAGAAAATAAGGAGGGTAAAGGCTTTTTGGACGTTTCGATGGCAGGTATGATGTTGGTTTTTTAGGTAAGCTTTCAGAAAGTGTTGGCATACTGAGTTATTTTCATAACGTCGAAATTTGATGATGTGGTACCCCAAAATGTCTAAATTTGATGTTGCCGAATCCAAAAATACCGAATTTGATAATGTCGAAATTTGGTGATGCCGAATCCCAAAATGCCTAAATTTGATGACGTGTAAATCCACAATGTCGAAATTTCACGATTGCGAGTCCCAAAATGTCGAAATTTCATAATTGGAAATCCATGATGCCGAAATGTCATTAGGTCAAATCCCAAAATGTCCAAATTCCTTGATGTGAATCCCAAAATGTCCAAATTCGTTGATGTGGAGCCCCAAAATGTCGAAATTTTCATCAACAATTCTCCCGGAAAACGTCCAGATACTATGCAAAAATTCTACACTATGATTGGTTGCTTTTTGTTTAAAAATTAGTTTAAAAACGTTTTATAATCTGGATTTACGATAAATAGTCCCAAAGAGAGGTGGCATATGAATGCATCCGCTTATAATAAGCACTCGAAAAAACTCGCCCTCCGCTAACACTTCAAAAACGAATGGCCTCAAGTGTTGGGGTTAGGGCGAGAGCGAGAAAGAGAGAGAGAGAGAGAGAGAGAGAGAGAGAGAGAGCGAGTGAGAGAGAGAGAGTGTGAGAGAGGCCTATAAAAGGTAGTCAATAGCGTTTACCCAACCGCGCCGGACACTTCTAATTCGGGGAAAAGCTCGTGCTCTAGCGGTTCGCCGCCACACCGGGATGGACACTTGCCCCCCGGGCACAAGTGGCCCTCTGGCAGATTCAATTTCCGATAGCTTGAGAGGACCGGAGAGCAGCCGGGGGTGGGGGACACGTTTTTCCTGAAAGCTATCTCGGGAAAACAGTGGGAGGACCTAAGTTGGAATGGATATCTGTTGAAAAGCCAGCTTTTGGCAAGAAAATCGGCATAGATGAATCGAAACAGCAACAAAAAAAAAGCTTAAAAATAGGAGTTAGAATGGAGTTCTAAGCTCGTGATATAGAAAAGGTTATAAAAACGATCCTAGCTGACCACAGCCCAACGAAGTTAGGGCCAAAAAACCACGTGGCTGGCTAAGGGAGCCAAGAAATGAAGCGTGCGATTCAGTGGTGCATGATGGGCACCAGGAGCCTATTTTTCCTTGAATGGGTTCATAGCCAGGTTTTAGAATCGAGGAGTGTTTTTCAGCCTCTTATAGGCATTTAAAGGGATCCGCAAGGCATGAAGCTACGGCTGCGTATTTATCATGTTGCTCGTGCCGTGCCGCGACATGCAACGCGCGCAATACGTCGCACTCGATTACGCAATCGAAGCGCGAAGCGCGTTGCGTGTCGCGCGCGGCAAGACCGGGCGGAATCCATAGCCAGCAGCATCGAGAATTGTGCCTTGCCGGTTCCGTTGAAAAATATGTTTAGGCAAGTGCTACGTGGGCACCTAATCACGTCGAGAGAGAGAGAGAGTGAGAGAGAGAGAAGAGGGGGGGACCGAGGCGCAGACGTTAACAGGCGCTCGCGTAGCATTGTCAGGCCGATGCCTGAACCTTTGACTTTAAAGGGACAGTGCCAGTAAATTTAACTCTAGTAAGCTAAGAATTGATGAGAAAATCGAAGTCAACTAAAACAACAGTGTTCTTCTGCGTCCGTGGCCTTCACCCTCCTCCCAAATGTTCCCCAGGCGGCCCGGAACCAGGGCGGATTGTTTTCCCGTGCCCCTCCTTGTGTGTGCAGAAAAACCTCACCACCACCGAAAAATGGCACATCACGAGACGGTGAAATCGGAGATTTGAGGGGCGAATGGAAAGGCGCCGAATTGCGCGCGCATCTTGATGGTGAGCGGCGATTTTTGATGTTAGGATTTTTTGTAGTGGATATTACAATTTTTTTCGCCTAACGATGAACCGGATTCCGGAAATAGAGCGAGTCGTAAAAAAAAATGTGAAGAGTCGAATCTTTGGCTCTGGTGAGTTAGCGGGAGGGGGGCGGCGGGGCGTCAGGCTGACTTCACGCCCACTCGCCTCTTAATACTGAAACATACTGGATTTATATAGCTTTTTTAAAATTTTAGTATGACTTTGGTTTTGCTGGAAAATCTATTACAAAACGTTAAAAAAATGTAAATTCTCAAATTTCCTATGACTTTTCAGTGACCAAGAGCCACTAAAACACTATAAAACTACATGGGTATAAGCTTCATTATTTTTACAAAAATTGTTTTTTATTTCATAAACTTAATTTATAGATGAGATCCGATCCGATAACAGACCAGAACCCGGCCCATCGCGTAAAATACCGGAAAATCCCAGAATAGCCGGAGTAATTGGTAGGAGTAATGAAAATATTTTCCTTACAAAACACCGGAAATTGGGAACAAAGACAATAATAAAAAGTGAGAAAGCGGAATTGGATTTGGTCGGGACGGAGGGTGTGACGAATTGGCGGGGACAGTGACACATCCCCCACCACATGGCGTCACTGTTTGGGGCGAGTCGGGAGCAAATAAATTAAACTCGAACGCTCTAGTGAGGAGCTTTTTATAGTTGAGACCAGAGTTGTTCGCGGACGGACGCGGACGGTCCGGGACGCGGACGCGTCCCCGTCCGCTCATTTACATAAATTTTAGCGGACGGACGGGACGGACGGCGGACGCCGGAAGTAACTGCGTCCGCGATGCAAATGAGAAAACCGGATTCAAATCATAATGAAGCACCTAGTTTTTCATTGTTGGGCGTAAAACCTTTGGTAGGGTCTGGTTTTTAGCATGTCTACTTGTACATGGCAATCTACTGTCCAGTAAAATCAAATTCACCGCAAAACCTGCAAAATTATTGTGAATTTCCTGGTTTTCATTTTAAGATTACCATGAATTAATTTGCATCTCGGACGCGCAGACGCTCCCCGTCCCCGTCCGCCAGGCGTCCGTCCCGTCCGTCCGGGACGCGTCCGCGTCCGTCCGCAAAATTTTATGCTAATGAGACGGATGGGACGCGTCCCGTCCCGGACGGGGACGGACGCGGACCGGACTCAAAATGAACAACCCTGGTTGAGACTCAAGAGCGAGAAGAGGGAGTAGGAGGAAGAGAGTACAGCTTCTGGAAACTAGTCTAACCCTAGAAACTACAGATTAGCGTTCGAACTACAGCTCCCGATTAATTCGTAAAATACGGAATTTAACAAAAGACGAAAACGAAACGAAAAGGCCTGTAGTGCTCAAATAGAGGACGTTTAGAGGAACCGTGCGTAGCGGAGACATGGACTACGAGAAGCGCCTATGGACACTGATGTTTTGTAGTACTTTTTGAGTTTTTAATAAAGGTTAAACCCCAAAAATCAGGTCTGAGAATCAAAAAAAAAACCCCAGCGGAGGACATAGCTAAACGACGCTACACTCACCTGTACATCCTAGATTGGTGCTTTCTAGGCATCTTTTTGTCTAGTTGTTTAAAAAAGACTCTTCAAAAAAAAAGACTTCTTAAAAAAGACTGTTGCCCCCTTAAATTGCGTATAAGAATCACAAAAATCTTGCAAAAAACATTTATGTATTCGAAAACGTCACTTTGCTGCTGGTTTGATGGCTTTCCTACGCAATTTTTGATCTGTTATTTTCCCTTTAAAATAGGGCATCAATTTGAAAAGATATTGAAGATTTCAAAAAAATCTAAAAATCTATTAAAAACCTTAATTGCGGGCGAATTGCTTAGCGCCTTTCATGCCGGTCATGTATTTTTTTACCTGTAACCATCCCTTTAAAAAGAGCAAGAAAATTCAAAGATATGGCAGATTTTAAGGATCGAAAATAAATTAAAAATCTAGAAAAAAACACGTGGTGTCAATGTTTGCAACAAGTAACGGAGGCACCGGCCGGTGTTGAATTGAATTCGGGTGTGTGCATGGGAGCAGTGTCCGAATTGGTGGGGGCGCTATGTGTTGTCGCCCGTTTCAGCCGGAGTGTCAGCCCGGAAAAGAGTGCCACTTGGGCGTCTGCGCTCTCCGTTCTTTCCGCGCTCCCTCGCGCAGGCGCCCCGGAATCCACGACACGGCCTCGCTGGCTGGCCCGATCGCGCGCGCCTCAACCAGCCAGCCGCCTGCCTGCCTGCTCTCTGTAAACAGCGTTTATTGCCCGCCGTCTCGAGACTTTGTCTATTTCTCTAGCGTCTAGAAATTTCTGACTATCTAGAAACAGTATTTTGTGAGTTGCGTGTCTATTTTGTGTCTATTTTTCGTCTATTTGTCTAGATTCTGTGTCGTTTCCTTAGATATTTCGCTGCCGAAACTCTCTATATCGCTACATATAGGATGTCTATAATTTCGCCCTTTTCAAACATTTTATAGCAGTCTTTTGCGAATTTCTGTGTCTATTTTTCCTCTAGTTTTTCTCACTACGATTTTCCTTTCAACGTATACCTCGTCTTTCCATTTCTTTCTTCTATTTCTGTCTTTTCGGCCTCTAACCCTTTTTTAAAGGATCCTTCTTGTTGTCTCTGTTTTTCGCTGGTGCACACACTTCTTTATAATCCTGGCCCCATCCCACTCGTTTGACATGTCCGTAGCGAAAACTTTTGGGGAATTTAGGCGAATCGGAGAAAAATCGGAAAGTGTGGGCAATTTTACTTCCGCTTTAAATAGTCCCTTTTGGGTTGATTTTGTTGTCGTAAAACCGTAATAGACCGAACCGTGGCAAAATTAAGGGCTTTGATCATTTTTTAATTAAAAGAGCTTCACGAAAAGTAAGTTTTTACCGCACTAAAAAACCATGTAAAGTTGATTTCGCCATATTTTGGGATTTAAAGCTACAAAGACCCTAAAAAACCGCATATACGACTAGCTCTAAAGCTGAAAGTTATTTTAGCTTTAGTAAGATTTTATGAAAAGCATATCAAATCTATCTATATTAATTTATGGATATTACGACCCAGTCTATTGACTGCATTGTTTCAAGGCGTAACGATTGAAAGGGCCACAAAAAAGCGAGCGGCCCGAGGTTTGCTCAGCTGGGTGGAAAAAAACGCCCACGTTGTCAGGGGAACATGCCGAGCTGATCGCCACCGGAAACAGCCGCGTTTTTTGCCCGACCTGTGGGTCGTTGTCTTTGCTTGAAGGGTTTCGTTGCCCTGGAATGCTTTTACCTGCCAGCTGGTCTTATCTTTATAAGCTCTAAAAATTTTGGAACCATTCCAGGCCGTTTGTTTGGACTGTAGAGCGGAATGTAGTGGCATATTTTTTTCTGTAACGGTGTTCAGAGGCGCATTACGTACGCATACGTGCGTGCTAAACTCTGCAAGTGTCCGGTATTTTTATTAGCCATATAAAATTTTGCAAAGCTCCCCCATTGCTTGAGCTGTATCGCCGATACGACAGCGCAAAGAGGTGTATTACGTAGTGTAGCGCAAAATACTACACGCAAAAATCTGAAAGTTTGGCTTTTTAGCCCGAATTTTGCTTACAGTATGGGATCGCTGTACCTTTCCGGAGTTGTGACTAGAAGGCTGCGTAGCTTTACTCCCCTCTGATTTGTCACGTTTTGAAATTTCATCACTAAATCTTTTGTAAGCCGATTTTCGCTTGCACACGCTCGCCATAACTCGCTACACCTCGATACAATTGACGTTTTGACTCAGCTAAACTGTCAATTTTATTTACCGTACCATTTCGCCTGATTTAATGTCGTAATGCATTGCAAAAACATCTTGAAAACATTTGTACGCTTTTGTCCTGCTTATTCTCCTAAACCGTATTGTTTTGCGCGAATTAGTAGCCTAATGGGGTGCAAAATTCGATTGTAAACTGTTTTTTACAATTTTTCATCTTTTTGTGTTTTTAAAAATTATATTCCCGTTTTTTTCAGGCCCATTTTATGTGGGAAGAAGTGTGGCTGGCCGTCGGGATCGTCCTCGCCGCCACCGCAGCCGTCCTCGGCTTCCGGAAGCTGCTCGAGAAGCGCGCCGGGAAATCGTTCAACAATGAGACGATTATTGCCAAGAGTAAGTTTTGTTTTTTATGTTTATAGACCTTTTTTTCAGGTGGGCACATGTGGGAGCAGGTCCAAGAATTCGACGGCAGCCCTTTTTGCTCGAAATGCGAGCGGCGGCTGGCTCGTGGGTATCGCTGCGAGTATTGTAACATGATGGTGGATGAGGTAAGAAAGTCAGCGATTATTTTACGTTTTTTTTTAGGTAAAATGCGCACGCTCGATCTCTGCCGTCAAGTGCTGCAAAACGAATGTTGAAGTTACGTCGGACGACCTGATAAAGCATCACTGGGTTGGTTTTTCTTAAAAATTATGAAAATTTTAATAAATTTACAAATTTCCTGGGTTTTAGGTCCACGGCAACCTCCTTGGCGACGCTTTTTGCAGTGTTTGCGGCGACGAGTGCGGTCAGGATATCGGGCTCAGCGATTATCGGTTCGTGCGCTTCACTTCAAAGTGGCTTTTTACGATGTAATATAGTTTATTCGATAGTGCTTCACATTCTGAAGCAAATCAAACTTTAAAAAACGGGTCTACGCTACTAAAAGAGCAGGAAAAACCTTCCGATAGTTGAAATTTGATCAAGCGCGGACAAAAATGGGCAAAATTGGCTTTTTCGGATCAAATTTTCGCGGCGATCTTTATAATCCAGCGGTTTTTGAAAGAGTGATTGGTTCAGAATTTCAAGCTCTATCAAAAAAATTTTTCTCCTGAGAAAACGACCCCTTTTACCCCACGTAATTCTGCAAATAGCCGCAAAGCGCCTAATTTCTATGTACACAGCTAAACGCGCTCTTCCCTCGAAATCCCCCAGCACCGCGGTTATTTTGATGCCAACTGATTTTTGAGGGCAACCCGCGCGTAGACTTGCATTTTTGAGCGCCGTCCCGATTACCCAGAGCAACGGAACACACAGGCCGAGCGGGCTTGAACCCCCCGTTTTTCGCGCGCTCGCTGTGTTAATTGGCGATGGCCATGATCTTTTGCTCCATTGGCTCGCCGTTTCGTTTGTCGGGGGTGGTGTGGTACATCCCGTCGCATTTTCTCTTTTTTAAGTTTTTTAGGTTCTTTTCTTAAACGTTAAAAACTTTCGATTTCAGGTGCTCTTGGTGCGCGAGAAACGCGCATACGTCTTGCCGTGGCGAGCTGGAGGAGGTGTGCGATTTCGGGGACTTGAAGCAGTCAGTGGTTCCGCCCAACAAGGTGACGCTGCGGAAGGCCGGCAGCCGAGGGGTGAAACAGGTAAAATAACGTTTTTTGGAAAATTTGTGTTTTCCTGGTTTCCTAAAATCAAACCCTAGTTTTTTTGCCTGTAAGTCCGGATCTTCTGAATAATGTAGTATCTACCGAATCTTTTTGATCTATTTGCGCTATATTTGAAGTGAAAATCATGTTTAAAAATTAGAAAAATGTTTGAAAGTCTGGAATGGGTTGAAAATCGCCAATTTTGAAAACCAGAGTTTTTTGTATTTTTTTTTCAAAGGCACCCGTTTTTCGTTCACTTTTGATGTGAAACTCCCACGCATCACTTGTCAGACCGAAAGATTGGGGCCCTTATCATTTTTATCAATCCCCCGAGGGCACGTGGTTCAAAAAAAATTCACGCAACCTAAAGTCGTTGATCAGATCTCGGGTGCGTCAGACCATTAGCAATTCCCCGCGGGACGCTTCGAACCGTCTTCCCGCCCCCCGCCCACGAATATAAAGCTGGCGGAGAATCGAGGGCGATATTGCTCTCCCACGCGACCGTTTTGAGCCTTTTCTAATGGATTCCTATTCCAAGATGGTCATCGACGGCATCATTCGCCCGGATGCGCCACCGGATTGGCGCCCGATTTTCATCCTCGTCAACCCGAAAAGTGGCAGCGGAGCCGGGATCAAGGTGGCGTCGGCGTTCCGGTTGTTTCTGCACCCGATACAGGTTGGTTTTTATAACGGAATTTTTTTTTGCTATATAAATAAACTATTTTACGCTCTATCTTTAGGTAATCGACGTCACCAAATCCCACATGAAGGCCGTGCTCCGGTGGCTTGACGAACGGCCAGACATCGAGGCGCGGATATTGATCGCTGGTGGTGATGGGACGATCAGCTTTGTGCTGAGTAAGTTGCCATAAATTTTTATCGTTTTCTATTATTTATTTTAAATTTATATTTATTTTGTAAGCAATTTTTATTTCCAGACGACATTGACGAGCTCGAAAATCGACCCCCAGTCGCCGTGCTTCCCCTCGGCACCGGAAACGACTTGAGCCGGGTGCTGGGCTGGGGCAAACAGTCGGATGGCTGTATTTGTCCTCAACAGGTAGGATTCTTGATTTTAGTAATTAGATATGCTTAAAAATCTAAATTCTTGCATGAATTTTCGAAAAACTTTGATTTTTCTGATCCTACAAGACGTCCAAGAAGCCGAACCCTTCCCCCTGGACCGGTGGAGCGTTTCGATTGAGCACCCGAGGAAACTGGGAGTTAGGAGATCAAATAAGTATGTTTTTAAAAACAATTGTATTTAATTTTGAATAAACCTTGTAAATAAAAAAACATATTTTTAGTAACGAAAATTTGAAAAAATTAAAAAGTAAAATATTCGAAGTTTAACGAGGATTTGAAAATTTGTTGTTGCATCTTTCTTTTTCCTTTATTTCAAAGTTGAAATTAAGAAGAAGCTTAAGATTAAAAAGAAGATAAAATACTTTTAAAATGTCTTATAAAGCTATCCTTTTTCAGAAGCATGATGATGACAAACTACATCTCGATAGGTGTGGACGCCTGTGTAACCTACGGAATGCAAAGTACAAGAGATCAACTACCCCGGGCGATATCGTCAAGGTAAATACCCAAATTTTCAAGATAAAAACTAATTTGAGACTCCTCAACAAATTCCTCTTCTTCACGTTCGGCACAAAAGACGTTTTCGAGCGGGCTTGCTCGGGCTTGGAGTCCAAAATCGAGCTGACCGTCGATGGGAAAGTCGTGGACCTTCCGGAAATTGAGGGCCTCATCTTTTTGAATATACCATGCTGGGGCGCTGGCGTAGAGGTCGGTAGCTTATTGGATAGTGGCTTGAAAACCAAAAATTATCGATTGAACGTCGAAATTAATGATTTTTAGCCTTGGAGCATGGAGCCTGACGAGGAGATGCCACAATCCTGCTCCGACGGCCGTTTTGAGATCTTTGCTGTTCGCTCGTCGTTCCACATTGCTCAATTACAGGTAAAAATTTTGCATACGAATTTGAGGTGCTTTCGCATGTGGAAATTATCCTAATTAGTATTTTTGCGAAGATTTAGCTATATTTCAAATTTATTTAGGAACAAGAAAATATTAAATCTTGTTTTCGAAATTTTTTGAAAAATTGTGATTTTTAGCGAATTTTTTTTTGTGTTTCTTATTAATATTGGTGATCAATTTTGGATGTATTTCAAGCAAAACCACTATTTAGAAAACAGAAAAATATTGAAATTTTCGATTTTGTTAGGAAAATCTATGTATTTACGTTTTTAACAGTCATTTTGATTGAATTTGGCTATGTTTCAAGCGGAAAAGGCTTTCAGAAAATAGAAAAACATTTAAATTTGGCGGGAAAACAGGTATCGAAAAATCTATATTCTTTACCTTTCTTAAGTAAATTTTGTAAAGTTTCTACGTTTCACTTCATTTTTTCTTTCAGGTCGGCCTCTCCGCGCCACTCCGAATCTGCCAAGGGCGCGAGGTGAGCCTCCGGGTCTTCCGCGGCCCGCTTCCGATGCAGTGCGACGGCGAGGCGTGGCTCCAGCAACCCGCCACCGTCTCCATAAAACACAAGGGCACCTCGATGATGCTCCAGAAAAAGCCGGCCGCACAGTCCCCAAAAACTAACGGCTTCTTCTTATAACGTTCGTAGAATTCGTGCCTTTTAGTTTTGCTATATTTCGTGCTGTTCCAGAAATCTCCTTTTTTCCATAGATTTTCGATCCCAGATCGTACCTTAATTTTCTGATACCTATTCTGTTTTTAAACCTTATCTGATCAAATATCGTTAAAAATTCTTGGTCTCATTTTCTAAAACCTAAAGCTTTAAGCAGCTCCTCCGCCCACTAACGTACTTACGGGTAACAGTCGGTTGTTTTATCGAATTTCGTGTGTATATCAGCTGTATAATTGTAATGAAGTGATTATAATTTGGAGCCGGTATCACGCGAATTCTCTTGTTGTGATTCTCATCTTGTGATCCCAGGGTCCCCCGAGTAGTCTTTTAACTGAATTTTATCTCCGCCTGATGTTCGGATTTTTAGTCGTTCTATTAATCGTTTGAGGATAAACGTTTTAAACTTGAACTGTAGAAATTGCGAGCTGGATCCTCTGGATTTCAAGACAAACTGCAAACTACAATTCTGCCTGAAAAAGCCGACGACGACGAAAGCTAAAACGTGGAAAACCACAAAATCTATCCTTTTTGATGGGGCCTGCTGTACGGAAAAAAAATTGGAACGCGAAAATGCCAACCGCCCCGAATCCGAAAAGAGCAAGATCCCGACAGGCTGAACACGCTACTTCCGCTTACTAGTAGATCGCGTTCTGTCGAGCGAATTCCGGTCACTTCGCCTAAATCCGTTTTGCCTAAACCCGTTTCGCCTAAAACCCGTTTCGCCTAAAACCCGTTTCGCCTAAATCCCGTTTCGCCTAAAACCCGTTTCGCCTAAAACCCGTTTCGCCTAAATCCCGTTTCGCCTAAAACCCGTTTCGCCTAAGGCCTGTTTCTCCTAAAACCCGTTTCGCCTAAAAGACGTTTCGCCTAAAAGACGTTTTTCGCACTTTGATCAAGTTTTCTTTTTGGCACTTTTCTGGAGCGGCTGCATGCGTTGCATAAGAAGGTTGCAGTCAAAATTCGCGAAGCGAATGAGATCGCCTACATGCCGAAGCGCAAAATCAGCCGGGATTTTGACGAACAGCGCGCGATGTGTGAGGCTTACGACGACAATAACCCGCGAGCCCTTATCGAAATTATTTACAAGACTCTGTATTAATCATTGAATGAATAAACCGTCCTATGTTTTCCTTACATCCAAGCAAGTCGTTTTTGCCGACTAACCTTAGAGTTTACCCGAAAGGGGTTTTAGCCGAAAGGGGTTTTAGCCGAAAGGGGTTTTAGGCGTAACGGGATTTAGGCGAAACGGGATTTAGGCGAAACGGCTTTTAGGCGAAACGGGTTTTAGGCGAAACGGGATTTAGGCGAAACGGGTTTTAGGCGAAACGGGTTTTAGGCGAAACGGGTTTAGGCGAAACGGGTTCAGGCGAAACGGATTTAGGCGAAATGGCCGTCACCCCTGTCGAGCTTCTGGATTGTCAGAATTTTGGTCTATCGGTATTTCGGCGTATAGCGCATTTCTGTCGGGATTCTGGCCGGAAATCGGAAAACTTCTGTTCGAGAGTAATACGGAAACTGAAGAAGAGGCAAGAGGAATACAGACAGGAAACAATTTCAGGGTTAAAGGGATAGTGCCAGGAAGTCGACTGCTGAGTTGCTGGCGAAAAAACGTGGCTTTTTAGCCGTATTTGGTTCACGACGATTCCGAAGTGCTGCTGAACCCGGACCCCACCTCCTCTAATCATCAATCCTGATCTATAACGACTGAATGGTATCATGTCCCCTGGCGGCATTGACCCGTGCCGGAAATGATATCCGTATATGATCGACAGGGGATGACTGATTGGGGGCAGGATGGCGGCGGATTCGGAGTGATAGTCGTTGCTAGGATCATGTTTCTTACTTTCTGACTAACCTGCGAGAGTGTTTTTGATAAAAACGATCTTCCAAATATTTCTTGTTCGTAAAATTTTATAGTCTTACAAATTGAAGGCCTTTTAGAGCTCATAAGAATGAAAAACGGCTCAAAAACGACCAGAACGTTTGAAAAATTTCCTTTCCACATTCTTTAGACAGTTTTTACCTCTACATCTTTACATTTAGCTGATTATTACTGCACTTCGTAATTTTTTAACGTTTTTCACTGTTTCAGAAAAAAAACCGAAACAGAATTTATTTAGATCCCTTAAAGGTATCTTCAAGATTAAGTAAGGTGATTACAACAATCTGTATTGCCTCAAATGAAATTTAATAAAAAATGAAATTTTCTGTACCTTTATTAAAGGTATTTCCGTCTGGATTTTTGAAGGAAAAGGCGCTGGTCCCTCCAACAAAATGTGATAAAAAAAGAGCATTTTATACGAATTTATTAAAATCGTGTGTCTTTCTGATCAGAACCCATCCATCTCCTCACCGGATCCTCAATTAGGCATTAGCCGCCCGGGTCGGTCAGTGGCTGTGCCGGGAGGATGAGAAGGGTGGTGGCCGCGTGTGGCCCAGTTGTGTCCAATAGAGGGCCCGCCGAGGCGGTGGCCCTCCACCCGAAAATGGACTATTGCCCCCAGGGCACAACCCCCACGCAGAAGCCGATCCTTCTTTCAGGGCGGTGTTGCGGCGGCCGAGTGTTGGCTCCTTGAATTCCTGATTTTGGGCTCTGAATTGTGTATCTATAACATTATTTTGTATTTTTACTTATATCGATTTCTTTAACATTACCTAGGTATCGTTTCTGAAAGTTGGTCGCATGATAACTTATTGGGCTCTCCACAACTGCAGGTTCAGACCCACGGCACAAATCCTTTGCTTTCCCTTCCGTTCTCGCCTACGACCATACCACGTTGAAAGCACGGCATCCCGTCCGATCTGCCAAGTTAAGCAACGTTGGGCTCGGTTAGTACTTGGATCGGAGACGGCTTGGGAATCCCGAGTGTCGTAGGCTTTTTTGGGTTTTTAGGGAAGTTCTCAGTTTTTTGAGTTCTCAATTTTGCGCCTTTTCGATGTTTTTTTTTGGGGTCCCAGAAGTTGTCTTTTACTCTTATTTAACCATCTATGACTCGGAAAAAATCTCGATATTTCTGACGTTTGCGGTTTTGATGAGGTTTCCCGGGCTGAATTAGGATATACCAGGGTTGAAAAGCCGCTTCGCGACTTTTCAACCCTGGCCCCGTCTGATCGCATGATATACTTCACTTTGCATAATTCATTTATTTCCGATGACAAAAATGAAAACTGCGCTCGCTTGCCAATTATATAGGCTACCGGAACTTCCGGCGCATGCTAATTTTTTCCTAACAAAGAGGATCGCCGATTTTCCAACAAAAACTTAAGTTTAATGTCGAAAATAGACAATTTTGATAAATCTGATCTGTGTGCAGTCATCTCAGGGCCATTACGCACCTAATGACGTATCGTACGTAGCCTAATACCCTTCCCCTCTTGAGATATCCTCCGGACAGAATGACGGAAGTTGCATGCAAAGTGGCACAGACACACAAACACACAAACACTATTTTTTTATATATAGTAGGATCAGCGCCGATTTGACAAATTTTAATAGCTAAAAAACTAAAAAACTAGAGCAAAATCGAGACAACCGTTTTTTAAGACATTTTTGGTTCCAGGATACGAACTAACAATTTCCCCCTTCAAATTTCTCTCAAAAATCCGTTCTAAAACTGTCAGTATTGCCCCGTACTATCCTCCCCCTGGGGCCCAGCTGGTAAAGCCCGGAAAAGCACTCGAAATCGATGGAAGAAGGGGAGGGGACAGGGTCGGTCTGTATGTCTGTACATGTGCGGGGTGTGTTGCATCTTGTCCCATCCAACCACCTCCACTACCCCGCAACCATCCCCACCCAACAAGCCTCGTTCATCCCCGAAACGATCGGCCCGGGCGGCTCGATTGGGAAATTGGCTCAAATGGGCTGATACTCAACTTGATGTGATACTGTATTTCCCCCGGGCTGTGAGGGGCATTATTTTTTAGGCCGGGTTTAGTGGCGTGGCGTGGGAAATCCGATAATCCAGATGCCTCGCAATTGTGTTGAGTTTTCTCTAATATGATTTTTCAGCTTTTGTATAGTTAAATTGACGCTTTTTCTTGACTACCTGAAGCGGCTTTCAAAGTTTTAACATGGAGAAATTGATATGTTAATGATGGTCAAGTTCGTGGTGCTTTTAGGACGAATTTAGTGACTGGATGTGGTCTAGAGATCTCCACTATTTTCTCCATTTAAACAGTAATAATACTTTCTCTACTGCTCTTCATAACGACTTTTCTACATATCTCCATTTTTTTAAAAACCGAGGAAGCTTTTTTATGTTAGTTAGTGTCAAGAACTGTGCGGTTTTTTCATTTTTCGCAGGCAGTGGGTTTACCTCAATAAAAAATTAAAAAACCCAGAAGGCTCTTTGAAAAAGATTTACATGTAATCAAGGATAAATTACGGATTTTTCCTGGGGTTTGAAGGCGTTAATCGATACTAGAGAACTGATGCACTTTACAAGGTGTTTTGTTCACTTCTAATCTCTGCAAATCTTCGTGTGTTTTTGCTCCAGATCTGTTTGTTTTCTAAAATTTACACAGTATTCTGTATGACGCCTCTGCTCACGCAGAAATCTGATGATCATTTTCATGTTTGGAAAATTCGCAAACCCGAATTTTTACTTTGATATGTGACGCCTGCCTCAAATATGACGAGATAATTGCCTATTCCTGAAGGTATTTTCGGATTATTTACCTACGTGCATATCGACCCTCAACACCCCCAAAAAACTATCGGCTTTTCCCACGGCGGCTCCAAGGGGGGCCAGACACACACAGACCCTCGGCCATTTTTTGTCGGGCTGGCTCGCCCTGGACCCCGATGCGATTCCACGCAAAAATGTATACGGTTGCGGGAATCAATACCTCTGCTTCTAAGTTGTCTATGAAATGCCAACTTTTATGTCCCGTTATATGTTAGCGCTTTTCTAGAATTATTTAAGAAAAGCTTTTCTATGGATCCGTTTTTCTAAGTATAAATTGTTAATGCTTGTTCTTTTTACGTTCTTAGTATTAAATTAAACTTTTGTTTTCCGTAAGAACGCAAGTGAAACTTTCTTATGAACTTTTTTTTTGCAGAAGAGAAGTATGGATAAACGAGAAACGCGAAAACGAAATCGATCAGGTTCCGGCCAGGTGGGTGTTGTACCTTGAATTCCCGATTTTTTTTACTGAGCAGCCTCGTTTCTAGTTTTTTTTATTTAGCATCGTAGCCAAAACTGTGTCAAACAAAGCTATTTCCAAGCGTCTGACCCATATTCGGGACGTGGCAGCGAAACACAATACAGGGCTTCCGGGTGAACATTACACAACTAGCGACAGAGGAAATTCACACCGGATTTGGGTTATAATACTAAGAAAGGGACTTAAAACGGACGTCTTATTAATGTTTGTTAAAAAAATGTCTTCAAGCACTTTCTATCTGCCTGTTCAAGATCGTCAAACGTAGGGTATTTGACAATTCCTCCATTGCAAAACCTCATTTTTGCGAATACGACTCCGTTTCCTTTAAAGTGTTTTTAAACCTCACAACCGATAAAAAAATCTGCATCCAAAGTTAAATTCTGCTCAATAAAGCGCAGTAATGGTACACAATTTACGTCGAACAAGGCTAGCTTTCTAGCCCGTTACCTAGAATATTACAACCATTTTCAAAGATAGGTAATTTCCACTCCGAAATTTGAGACCGATTCTCCCAGGGCTTTGCCCCATGAAGATTGACTAGCCGAGTGGCTCCCTGCCCCTACTAGCTGTCTCGCCGGATGTCTGCGCTCTAGCCCGCTCTCTTCCCTCTTTTCTCGGCCATCGTTCGATTTTCTGGGGTCTCCTCTTTGGTGGTGCTCTCTCATCACTGTCTGCCCCCTAGTGTCTTGCTCAAGAAAGATGGAGCCTCGATGGGCTTTTTCAACAACATCGTTCTGCCCCCCGTCTTGCATTGGCTTCTCGAGAAATTGGCTTTTGGGAAGGATGGATACTGAGCGCATTAATGGGAGGTTTCGATGTTGCTCTTTTCTCTCCCTCCCTCTCTCTCTCTCTCTCTCTCTCTCTCTATCGCTATAATTCTCAAGATACAATAAAACCCCCCTCCCTTTTAAAAACCCCCTCTTTTTTGTATCTCTCGCTCTCACTATTATCAATCTCTCTCTCTCTCTCTCACTCTCTCTCTCGCTCTCTCCATTATATCAATCGGCGCTGTCTGAGGTCGGCGCGTTTAAAAGGCATCCAAAGCTGTCACTAACCCAACCGTAAGCTTATCACATCGTTTACTTTACACCTATAATAGTTTAGTTTCCCGTTCCCGCTTCTCATAGTTTCTCACTCTCTCGCTCTCTCTTCCTCTCTCACTCTCTCGCTCTCTCTTCCTCTCTCTCTCACTCGCTCTCTTCCACCCAGCTGATCCATCGCAAATGCCTCTAGTCGGTCTTTGTTCTCGCGAACCTCCTCCCAGCCGCTCCACCCACCCTAGTCGTGCACTCAGCTGATTCCTCTCTTTCTCTCTCGTCTCTTTCTCTGTCCCTCTCACACTCTAGCCTCTCGCTCAACCCCTGGCTCTTTCTGCCCTCCCAAAGCTAGTGCTCTCTCCCCGCTACCCCGGCCACATCCACACAACACATACTGCACACAGCCTATGCGAGAGAGTGGCTGGGAGAGAGCAATAGAGAGATAGAGAGAGAAAGGGAGAGAGGGGGGGGGGGAGAGAGAGGGGGGAGAGAGAGAGAGAGACAACCCGGCCTCACGAGACCCCCATCCGTGCCCCTCGTCCTGGCTGCCTTGCCTGCTGCTGCCCCCCTTCTTCTTCGCCTCGGCCATTTTTAAGCCGACTGCCCCCTGCCCCGACCCCTCAATTTTCCCCCTACTTAATTTGAGACCTATATTTGGTTGTATATTACAGTATACTACTGCCTAGAGGGAAGTGAACACACCGCACTTCCCCGACCCAAGCGAAGGTGAGAGGGGGTGAAAATGGGAAAATCGTGAAAAATTTGATTTTTAGAATTTTTTAGAGACTTTTTCGCGATTTTAGATAACATTTAAAAAATTAAATGATAATTTGAATGTTATTTTTGAGCTGCTCCTCTTGTAATTTCGGTAGAGTTTAAGGTGGAAATTACGTGAAATTTGTAAAATACGAATTTTTGCACAAAAGTGAGATCTTATCAACTCTGAGGTATTTCAAGAATCTTTGTGCTTGGAATTAACATACATGCTAGCGTTTTTTATACTTTAAATCGAGTAATTCGAAGCGCTTGTCTAATTTGGATTGTATCGATTAATCGAATTTCTACAAAAATATGGATTTTAATAAAGTTTCAGGCTTAATTTCGATGTTAAGTTTAACTCTATCTAAAGTTTGAAGTGCTAAAACGACAAAAACCCACCTTTTTTGGGTTTAGCTTTGTTTAGCTATTTCAGGCACGAATTATCGATTTTTCTTGAAGGTTAAGATACAAGATCTTGTCGTTTTTCACTACTAAGCTTATTTTCCTATATCATGCTTCGTTTTCGCTATTGATCGGGGCGGCACCCGGTCAGAACCTGGGTCGTCAGCGCGGACACGATTTATTGCCGCGCCGCGCGTATTTTTGGTGTCGCCCCGGAAAATCGAATCCCTTTACCCCCACCCGAATCATGTGACTTTTGCAGTTCGCGTTACTGTATGCAGTACATCTTATACAATGTACAGAGTAGTGATAGGTAGCAGTGTGATACGTGGGGAGGAGGAAGCAATTTTTCAAGGGTCCTGAAAGTCGAAAAAGCTAGCCTGCTAGCGGTGTCGGTGCATTAATGAGTTGGTTTATGGAGTTTTGAACTATACCGGCCGTGAACGGAAGGCCAGTTTTTTTTTGAAAATCGATAAAAGACAAGGAGAAAAGAAATCCAATGCCAAAATTTCCGGAATGGGATGCATTAATGACATAAGTTTCTCGAAATTTTTCAATTTTTTCTACAAGTTTGTTTTCCAATTTTGAGATCTTGAATTTGGAAAATACCTTCGAAAATTAGAAACTTTGCGTTTTTCAAGGACAGCGCTAGATACATTTTCAGAAAAACGTTAAAAAACTCAAGAAGCATAAGCCTTACAAAAAACAAAACAAATTCATAGCTTACAGTCGGCCGGTAACTAGCTACACGTGCCGTTTAGATATTTTTCCAAGATTTTTCCTGAATTGATAAATAACAATTAAATTTTCGGGCTTATTGAAATCTTATCCCCCGCCCCATCAACCGTATTTTCACCCTATCCGATCCGCCGAGGTCCTCACTTGGTAGGGGTAGTGAAATCGTTGGTGTTGTCGCCAGACTAGGCCCAATGTCCATGCTATGCCTTCGGAGGGTAGAAGGGGAAGGGACATACACACATCACGTGTGTGTCCGCAGATTCCCGGCAAAGAAGCGACCCACACTACCCACCCTCACATACCCGCTACGTGTCGATACCCACAACGATCTTTCGACGACTTCCTTTTCCGGGCCTTTGGGAGGAAGTTGGGTACTCCATCATTAGTGCGCCGAGCGGCGTTGCATTGATTGGCCCTTAAAAACTGAGGCTTGGGCTTAGGGAGACAACGGCTTCGGAAATAAAATGAACCCATAAAACACTTCTATAGCACCAAAACTTTGAAAAGAGCTCTTCAGTATCGTTAAAGCAGTGTTATGCTTAGATAGCGCTTTATAATCGCCATTAACTTGATGGGAAGTGCAGATTCGCCACAAAAGGATTTTTTATCCAAACCAGAAATTTGGAGCATTTATCGTCGTGATACCTTTAAAATATCCGTGAGGTAAAATCGTTCGTTACCTTAAATAATACCCCTAGAAATTAGTCCAATACCTCTCAATTTCTTTTTTCCAGATTTCCGGCCGTCGTCCGCCCGCCGTGGAGCTGCTCGAGGGGCTCGCTGGGAGTGAGGGCGACCTCTCCGGGCCACCGCTCGCCAAGAAGTTGAGGTACGGTAGAGTCCAGGCGTATATAGTTTAGGAGCGTAGTTAGCTTCTATAAAACAGGCGAAATTGCAGTAATTTATACACTTCTGGTCAATTTTTCACGAGATTTTTTAATTCCCGTTCCTTTTGAAACCCAAAAAGCCATATATGGACTTTTAACGAATGTAAGTAGGAGTCAGGCGTATTTTTTCATAATAAAAAGTAGTAAATGCATTGCGTGATGGTGCTCTGCAGATATAGAAAGTCCTAAACCCGTTTAAAATTTCGAATGAGCGTAAATTGGCGTACAACGTAGCGAAAAGTTAAATTTTTTGGTTTATTGGACTTTTGAAACATCAGAAACCTAGATTAAAATTTTTAAAAGATGCTAATTATAGCCAGAAGCCTTCCTTGTAATCTGACCCACTTCAAGGCTCATAAACCGTACCGGTACCCCTAATCTAGGGGTCGATAGGCGTCACGCGGACTTTCCACCAGCCCCTTCCCACACCTGTGCTCGCCGCCCAGGCTGGCTGGCTCAGCTGACCGGGTTGTGTCTATCTGCTCGTCTTCTTCGCCTCCCTTTTCGTATGTGTGTGCTGCTCGTCATTTCTCTCTCTCTCGCTCTCTCTCGCACTTCCTCTCTCTCTCTCTCTCCCGATTTCGCTCTCTCCCGCAACCCTCCACCCAGACCTGCCACACCATCGATTTCCCATCGAAAATATTGCCGGGGCTAACCGGTGGATGCGGGTTGTTTGTTTGGGTTAAGGAGGTGGTAATTAGGCATTGTCTCGGTAGTTCTGTCGTTTAGAGTCTAAAAATATCGGAATCTATCTGATTACGTCATGAAAATCGTAGTCGGGACGCTTGACGCTTTTTAATGGATTTCTATGTATTTTTCTAACATTTTGGATATTTTTCGCTTCCAAACAAATTTATATCATGCGCCCGATCTGTATTTTGCATAAAAAACGGTATAAAAAGCAAAAAACTAGGTTTTTACGATTTTAACAGAATTTTTATCGCGTTTACGACAAATTTTCATGATTTTTGATAAGTCTGCATCTAAAAGATTTCATAAAAATATTGGGATACGGAAACGAGATAGAGCTGCATTATAGAAGCTAAAAACCAACAATTCCACGCTGATGACATTCGATTTGTTTACCGCGTGCGCCTCATCCCCAGTCGGGAGCTTTAGTGCTGCCCCCTCGGGGTCCTCCCAGATATTTTTGCCCTCTTTGTCTTTCTCTGCTTCACTCCCTCTCTCTCTCTCTCTCTCTCTCTCTCTCTCTCTCTCTCTCTCCCCTAGCTCCCGTGTTCGCCTCACCGCAGGGCTGAAAAATAGCCGCACAAGCCGCACACAAATAAGCCACACCACCGCCGTCCGCCTGGTCACGCGCTTTTTTGGACTGGTCGAATTGGCATGGGACATTTTGGGGGTTTAGGATAGCTTTTGCCATCTTATGCCGTGCTGAAAACTTCGATATAAAAATATAGAAACACCAAATGTACTTGAAATTCGATCTTTGCGAGTTAATTTCCGTAAAATCTTGTTGTTACAAAACTAAATAAATTGTTTAACCTTCAAAAAAAATTTTTTAAGTGACATGGCTCCAGTTTTATGCATATTTTTGTTTATTTTTATATAGCATAGTTAACTTATTTTGCCGTATTCCTAGCGAGTCTAATTTTATATTTTTTTGATTTTTGCGAATACTACGGAATTCCGGGCTTGGTAAAAAAATGGATAATTTTCCTTCAGCAATTTTAACAGCTTGTTTTCTACGTTTTAAAAAACCGCCTTTTACATTTTACCGGCTACTCTTACTGCTTTTTATGGGTAATCAATTTTTTCTCCTTTTTTCTACGTGCCCTCCTCGGCCCCGGGGGGCTGCACTTTTGCGTCGCGTGACCAAGAGCGGGGTAGTTCTCACTTCCCCCTTCCATAAAAGAGTTGTGAGAATCAATTTCGTGCTGTTTTTACTGGTTTTTAACCTTGGGTGTAGGAAAATTCATATTTCCTAGTTTTCAACATGCTTAGGACACGAAAAATGGTTTTCTCGACAATAATGTCAATTTTTTTGGGGTTACCGCTTGTAAAATCGAGGTTTTGGTCTTATAAATTACGCAACTTAAATTTACGATACATATAATGTTTTCTAAACGTCTGAAATTGTTTAATTTCTGTATTTCCAGAATGCAATGCACGCTGAGCCCGCCACCCGGCGGCGCCCGCACCGTGGCCCAGCGGCTGAAGGAGTCGTCCTTGAAGGTACTATCTTTTGCTATTTTTATCTTTAAAAACCTGAATTCTAAGGTTTTTGACACTTAAAACAAACTAAAAACAAAAACTATTAGTTTGAAGTTATATTTTTCCAGGAAATTCCCTCCAGCTCGGCCCCATCCACCTCTGACGGCCGAAATGGGCAAGCCAAACCACACCCGGTGCTCAATCGACGTCAGCAGAATACGATTCGATTGATCGCACAGTATCTACGGGACCTAGGACTACAGTATGATTAGAAAAACCTATCGTAATCAGATTTTTCTCAATAGTGAGTCCGTGGAGTCGCTGGTTGAGGAGAGCGGGTGCAAGGTGGAGAACGCGAGGGCCGTACGGCTACGAGAAGCGGTAAGTCGCAGTATAGCGGAATAGATCTGTAATTTGAGATTCGACTAAAACTGAACGGAATTTAAATCTAAAGTACAGGAATTACAGTTACAGTCTTAAAAATTCGTGGTTTAATCCAGTACCATACGTGTATCGTAACGTCGATTACAACTTAAAAAAACCCAATCCGCCTACCGTATGAAAATCAAGCCTAATCGCCTACGACATCAAAAGGATCCAATCAATTACGATCTGAAATTCGGACCCAATAGCTCACGACATCAAAAACCCCGATCGATTACGATATGAAAATCTGGTTTAATGGCCTACGACACTAAAACGATCGGTCTAATCGGTTACGATATGAAAACGAAAGCCAGGAATTCGGAGAAATTATTAAAATTATGCCCCGTAGTCCACTATTTAAGATCATGCGCGGTCACTGGAATGAGGCGTTATCCGTGCTCGAGAAGTCCTACCAATTCCTCAGCCCTCACGAGCTCGAAACGGCCAAGCTGATCATACTCGAGGAGAAGTTTTTCGAGCTCCTCAGCAAGGGAGAGGTAGTGATTTTATGTTCTCATTTTAAAAGCATTTAGAACACCCTGGCGATGAAGTTGATGCGGGAGGAGTACCCGAATCGACGCTCGCTGAGGACGAGACGCACTGAACTCGTTGGAATGCTTTTCGCCGATGCAAATGAGCTTGGCAAGCACCCGGAGATCAAGAAGTTTGAGTGTGTTTTAAAAATTGAATAATAGCTAAATTTCGGGTTTAAATATTATAATTTAAAGAAGAGATAAGTCTAAAAACGTTAAAGGGGCTGGGAAGACAAAATTTTTCTTAGTTTTCAAGATTGTCTGGCATTAAATGATCGGTTTCAAGGATTTATCCCGTTTTTAAAGTAGATGACATCAAATTCGAGTTGCTATCTAAACGGGAATCTACCAAAACAACTATTTCTACAACTTAATTCTGATTTTTCAGCTCCAGAGACGCCCATTGGCGTCGTCGCCTCGCCATCCGAGTCCAAAAACAGCTGGACCCCGCCTACATGTTGCCCTGCAAGCGGTTGGAGCAGCTCACTGACCAGGGTATGGATTATCCAGTAACAATCGAACTCAAATTTCGTAAAGCTATCCCCTATAAAATGTTAAAATTTATCTAATTTTTGTATTTTTAGCCTTCAAATACCAAGTCGGGAAGTGCCGACTCCACTTTGACGGCGATCACGTGAAAATGGCTGATGATGCCATTTTCCGGAATCACGACTGCACCGAGGCCAATAAGCCGCTATTTAAGGCGCATCAGGTTTGTGAAAAAATTAGCAACATTTTGGGTAAAGGGACTTTTTAACAATTACACGAAAAAAAACATTGCTGTGAACGTATAATTTTCTTAAAAAATAATGGGAAAAACCATAAAATCAAATAAATTCCTAAAATTGGGCAAACAAATGAGAGTTCCGTAGATTGTGCCAAATACAAAATCATAGATCCTGAAAAAACACACCAGCGAGATTTATGTCGTCGAATTCTCGCCCGACGGCAGCAAGGTGGCCAGCGGGTCGAAGAATGGAGAAGTTATCATCTGGCAGGTTGGTTTTTATAGAGATTCTCTCTCGCTCTCTCTCTCTCTCTCTCTCTCTCTCACTTTCTCTCTCTGCATCGCCCCTTTGTCTCTCTAATTCATCATTTCCAGGTCGACCAACGCTCCCGAAAACTCGGCGATCCCGTTCTCATCCGGCACAACATGGACCTGCATGCTGATGATGATCTAGACCGTACGGCGGCCTCTGACGTCTTCTGCATTTCCTGGAGTCACGATAGTCGATTTGTGGCGGTCAATGGACAAGACAGAAATAGAGATGGAGATGTAAGACATTCAGCGATTTTTAGGGATTTTTGAGGGACATTTTGAGTGCAAACTTGCAGAGATTTTCTCAGGAATTTCGATGCAAAAAGTCATATTGGGTGGATTCATATTGTTTAAATTGCTTTAAATATAGAAATTGCTAATGTCCGTCCGTCCGTCCAGGAATTCAGCCAAATCCTGCATTCAAACCAAAAATTCAGATTGTGGGGGATAAGGGTAGCGGGGGCTCAGCGCTGGTAATGCTTAAATTTGGATGCAAAAATTTATAATCTACTTTTAGGCCTGGGTCTACTGCACTGACAACAACTGCTTGCCGTTCCGGAAGATCCGCGGGTCGCCTTCTCAAAACTGTCCGCCCTACACAGCCTTGGCTTTTACGAAAAACGGGAAGCATCAGATCATCGCTGGAAATAGACACGGACAACTGCACTTTTTGGTGAGTTTTGCGGTTTAAAGGGATTGCCAACGCTTTGGAGACACTCTGTGTCGGTTCCGGAGGTTCAGGAAAACTAAGGGAAGCCCTAAAAATCTTGGAACCTTCCGGATCGACTCAACTTCAGAAAGCTTGATGAGCGTCGGAAGCCTAGCTGAGGCTTCCTGAAAACAATAAAAAACGATCTGGGCCTTCCAGAAGCTTACCCACCCTTACGAAAAGTAACTATTGCTTTCAGAAGCACGCCGACACGTAAAGCCGTCCGAGAAAGATTTTAAACTCCTGAAAACCGTTCATTTTCAGGACCTCTCCCTCCCCGAAATGGGCCAATGTGTCTGGGTGAACGACGGGATCAGAATAAACTGGATTCACACGCTGCGGGACAGCGTTGAGTCCCTGCTGGCCGATTGCCAGAACAAGATCCGGCAGTTTGACTTCCACACCCGACAAATGAAGGTGCTGATCACCGAGGAGTCGGCGATATTGAGCATTGCGGTTCATGCTAATGAGAGGTGCGTTTTGAACGATTTTCAAGTATAAAAATATACCTTTAGATACGCTCTACTTGCCACTCAATCCAACGGCCTCCGATTGTGGGACCTGCACACCAGTACGTTGATGCGCAGCTTCGTTGGGGCCGATTACGGCCGGAAAATTGTGCAGCCAAGCTGGGGTGGTCCTGGAGATGCGTATTTTAGCTGTGGAGCGCAAGGTGAGAACGAGCGAGAGCGGGAGAGAGAGAGAGAGGGAGAAAGAGACCAACTTCAACATTTCCTTTCAGATGGCACCCTCTCCATGTGGAGCGCCGACTCGGCCAAGCCGGTCGCGAAGCTTGACGATATCCATCGCGGCGTCGTCAACTCGGTACGATGGAGTCCGTGCGATACCGCGATGATGATCAGCGTTGGGGATGACAAGCATGTAAGTATCGTGTCGTATCTTAACGTACCTAGCCAAGAGGTACGGTAGTGTACCACGACGTAGCCTAGCGTACTTTGCGCACGGTGACGTACAGTAACGTAGCGTATGACACCGTAACGCAACACTGCCATACCAAAGTGTACTTACACTGCGGGATACTTGCAATTACAATTAGTACTTTTTCAGCTCCGCGTCTTCACCGCCAACCTCGTCCACTGCGCCGACAGCCGCCGCGCACGGCCGCAACGCGCCGCCCACCTCAGCGCCAACGGCGTCGGCGGCCACCGCTCAACGCCGATACCTCAACTCGACTTGGGTCATAAGAAAAAGGTGGGTTTGGTGTTTTTTTTGTTTGATTTTTCTTAAAAAAACTGTTTAGCGTCACAGACATATCTTAATTTTTTTTGGTACGGTCAGGGCAGGCTAACAATGATTTTTGAGGAATTCAGCTCCCTAAAACGCCGAAGATAGCAGTAGCAGCAAATTTCTAGCTAGAAAACTTTCGTTTTAGGCTCCCGGTTCGCCGATCAGAGCAAAAAGTACGTAGGGCGCTGCGCGCACGCGCCGCCTATCGTCGCCTTGGGCGTGATACGGTATTCAGGTGCAAAAAATACTGAAAAATCGTTTAAAAAATCTCATTTTTAGCCGGTCAACCAGCTCGACTACCTCCGCCTTCAAGCCGTCGCCCGAGCGCGCGGCTTGATCTTCTCCAACCCAGGATATGCCATTTAAATTGAGGATGCCAGTTCTATCTCTCTCTCTCTCTCTCTCTCTCTCTCTCAGTCTCTCTCTCGCTCTCTCTCCCTCTGCTCAGTGCTCAGGTTATAATCAACTTATGTAATTCACCTCCACACCTCCTTTTCCCAGTGTACATAGGCGCGTCGTGTAGTAGTTGTACATAGCTATATTTTGGTATGCTGCTTTGCATTTTCTATTTTTTTAATATCTTTTGATACGATACACCCACATCGCCTTGTCCCTCACCTTTACTATGGTATTGCGGTCTGTGCTTTCTAAACATTGCCCTAGCCACACACCAAATATTGCCGATTTTCTTAACGTACTCTTTGGTGGTGATGCCTGCCGCTTCTTTTCGTAAGCCTAAGCCTAAGCCTAAGCCTATGCAAAGCCTAAGCAAATCAGCTTAAGTTTACGTTTAAGCCTAAGCCTAAGCCTAAGCTCTCATCCGCTTTTCTGCTACTCGAATTCTCGTGCTTGTGATCGAATCGATGGTATGCCCTGGTCATAAAGGAATAAAGGAATTTTTTGATGCAATATTGTGAATTGCGGCAGAATGAAAAACATTCAGATAAAGATCGCAAAAGAAGTGGCAACCTTCACTAGGTCTAGTACGCCTATAGTTGCACTAGAAAATGTGATGATTTCTGTTAATAATGCGCTAGGTGATTTTTTCTTTGTTTCTATTAACTTCAGAAAATTTTAAGCGAGTTTAATAAAAAATATAAACCTCACTAAAAATCCAGACCGTCTGAATTCACAGATTGCACTTTTTTCTCTCGTTTCTTGCCTGTCAAAACTGTCATTTTGCTGGTCATCACTGATAAGGGAGTGGAGAAAACTGGCTTAAGGGTATAAGAACTTCACGTCGTATTCACGCTCAGATATCTTTTATTATTTTGTAAATATGATGATTGTGAGTTTTTTCAGGTCTCCGCCTCAACATGGGCAATTTTTCCAAAATATCGGGTTCATGAAGAAACCCCGTCCTTTTCATGGAAAGAGCGCGACTTGTTTCGATTTCTACGACTGTTGAAATGGAACTATGAATTTGGCATCCGTATTTGAACTATAGCTTAATTCACGCTTACACACCAGATAGCGAAAAACCTTATCGTAAGGCAAAAAGCGTACGTAATCTGCTTCGATTTTTACAATCGATTAAAATGGAAATGGAGTTTTTAGGTATGGTTTTCAATTTTGTCTTATTCTAATTTTGTTAGTGCATGGCCAAAATATAAGAATTGGCCCTGCACTAAGAAATTAGAGTGTTTATATAGGACCAGGGCTACACAATGTTTACGGACATGATCTAAAGTTATGAACCACCCACCTCGGAACCTGACTATGTGGTATAAAGGAAACCTTACAACGCGGTAACGGAACGGACGCAATCGAGGATCTGAGATCACTCGGAAAGTGTGGAATTTATAGATATTCAAAGGTGGGTTAAAAATAAAAACGCAGATTGTTTTTTAACACATGGATTTTTATCCCATTTTTCTCAAAAATCGTGCCTAACTGCGCTCAAAACCCGCTTCGCGGGCCTTGGGCGCTCGAATGCGGCTTTTGCATGAGAAATTTGACTTTTCGATAACTCGGGTCCTTCGGACCCCCCCCGCCCTCGACCCCACTCACGCGTGTGACTTGCAATAATGAGGAAACGCATGATACAATTTAGACCTCACGGGCCCCAAAAAAGGGACGGACCGACCAAGGCCACGATTTTGACCTCGACCGGGGTGCCTTACCTGGGTGCCATCTGCTGAGCTGCCATTTTGCCGTCGGACAGATGATAAAGCTAGCCAGCGCACTAAAGGCAGGCGCACCGGTCTCCATACAAATAACCCGTTTTTGCTTTTTAATGCGCCTTACTTAGTCAACAATACAAATTATACCTTTATTTTTATAATATATACCGTATTTTAACGCACCATAGAGTACTTTATCGCGAAACTGGCTTGTAGGGGTCCATATTCTCACGTATCGGTGCTTTATTGCACATTTTTACCCGGATTTTTATGCTTTAATACATTTAGTGGTAGGCACTCAGATTTTCGAAACTCATATTTTCGAAAACTCATATTTTTGAAACTCATATTTTCGAAATCATAGTTTCTTAGGTTTTCCCGGGTGACCTAAGCCTATCCAAAGCTGTAAATATTAGTTTTCGAAAATATGAGTTTTCGAAAATATGAGTTTCGAAAATATGAGTTTTCGAAAATATGAGTTTTCGAAAATATGAGTTTCGAAAATGTGAGTTTTCGAAAATATGAGTTTCGAAAATGTGAGTTTCGAAAATATGAGTTTCGAAAATATGCACGCAAATCACATTTAGTAAGGGAAATAGTTTAATTGAAGACGAGTCGTTTACTTCGTGGATTGAGAGCGTAAAAATGATTATTCAAAGTAAAAGCTTCAATTTCGAGGCTATTTGATATAAAAATAAGAATTCTTATTAGTGGTAAGAAAGGTAATAAACCAGGAAAAAATATTGTAAGAAAGAAAAACCTTGAGAACGACGGGGATAACGCGTGATTTGTAGGCAACGTTTCAAATAAAAAGAACGCACATGTAGACCAACATAATACTACTAAACTAATAGCTGAAGACGCTTCAAATAAACTATTTCCTTTACTAAATGTATTAAAGCATAAAAATCCGGGTAAAAATGTGCAATAAAGCACCGATATCTGAGAATATGTACCCCAACACGCCAGTTTCACGATAAAGTACTCTATGGTGCGTTAAAATACGGTATATATTATAATAATAAAGGTATAATTTGTATTGTTGACTAAGTAAGGCGCATTAAAAAGCAAAAACGGGTTATTTGTATGGAGACCGGTGCGCCTGCCTTTAGTGCGCTGGCTAGCTTTATCATCTGTCCGACGGCAAAATGGCAGCTCAGCAGATGGCACCCAGGTAAGGCACCCCGGTCGAGGTCAAAATCGTGGCCTTGGTCAGTGGATCCCCAAAAAAGAGCCGGACACGCAAACAGAGATACACTCCAAAATTATATAAGGAATCGTGACCGTCAAGATCGTCGTGAAAGAATGATCGAAAATCGTCTTAGTTGTTCGAGAAGGGACCAATTCTGGTCGGGGTATTATGGCCCAGCACATCATGCTGAGGAAACAAAAAAAATTCGGAAAAGGTTGACATGGCGCTTTTGAATGTGCGGAGCGCAAGGTATGTTTTCTCAAAACAATTGAATTTTTCAGACATTTCATTAGGCATGGGTAAAATCTTGCTTTGCTTTGGTTAATTTTTGCAAAATTTGAACTCGAAGGTGTGGTCAATAACCTGCAGATATCTGTTATGTGATATATATGTGAGACATCTAGATGTTTTAAGAGCTTAGCAAAGGCGGCGGGCTGAAATTGGCATTTGATTTAAGCAACTTTTTAGGCGCACCGTCTTAGAATTATCCCTCGGCGTCGCATACGATGAATGCAATTGAACTGAAGAATGAAGCAAACTTTGGTACACTAAACCACCAGATCCTGCTCGACGACTTTCTACTGCACGAGAAGGGTTAAAACTGATGGATCATCAAGGTAATTATCTAATTTTCGTGCATTTGCGTCAATTCAAATTTGCTTGTGAGGGACCCTACTTACAATGGTTGTTAGTCAGCGAAAGACAGAGAGAGAGAGAGAGAGAGAGAGAGAGAGAGAGAGAGAGAGAGAGAGAGAGAGAGAGAGAGAGGCAACAGCGAGTAGATCAAGAATTATATAAGTTGAGCAATTCTCTACATCGTAAAAACTTCACTTTAAAGTGAATCGCTTAGGCCCGATTAATGAAGCCGCCATACCGTTCCCGAAACTAAACGACCAACGTGATATATCTGCCTCGGCGGCCGTTGAGGAATTATGAAGATCTTGGGAAAATTAGTAAAAATTCATCTAAACCTCCAAAACCATCCGTCACGAAGCTGGATTTGAAGAAACAGGAGAACAAAAAGCATAATACGGAGCGGAAGAACCTACACAAGATTGGAGCCGCGAGCATTGCTTGACGTTTCCGACCAACGACAACAAACAACAAACAAGCGTTGTGTGAGCAGTGCATCTACAGGTCAGGCTTTCCTAGCTAAAAGTAGGGCTTTTTTGGCGGAAACACTAAAGGTATTCTTTAGGAAATTGTCGGAATTGTAGGAATTCGGAAAAGCGGCCATTATGGAAAAAACTAAAAAAGGAATTGCAAACTAGTAGAGACAGGTTTTCTTCAATTTTTTTTTGACCAGAAATAGACAAGTCAAATTTCCAAAAAAAAAAACACAAAGTTCGATCTAATCGTTTAATTTTAGACCCGTGTTCGTTTAATAATTAAATTGTATACACGTACGGCTTACTTGAAGGTTAAACGTTTTAGGCTTCTCTAGCAATTGAGCATCATGATAACCGACGCAAACAGAGACATAAGGGGCACCGGCGCGGCAGCCGTGGAATCTAAAGATAGATGTCACAATGCGGAGGAATCCCGGAACGGCCCGATGCTGGCTACGATTTCGTACGCTATTTTCTCATTCTTAACCAAAAATATAAAACTTACCAAACCAAAAACTTCAAATATGGTCATTTAAATTTCATTACCAACGTCATAAAAACGCTCGCTGTTACGTTACTAAAAATTTCTTAACTTATAGACCCCCCACCCCGAGAATGCGAAAGCACTTAAGCTTCTAATAATTTTTGCGGAAAGTTAGCTACTTTAATTAATGCATATTTAACTGATTTAGCGACTTTAGAAATTGCTGATTGCCAACAATAACCTTAGCTATTTGTTTCAGGAGCCAAATACAGTCGAACAAAGAACTATAGGAGGTCTGCCGCGTTGCAAAGGCTTGATAAGGTTCGCTAGGATTTTGGAATCAGAATGCGGTTCAGAGCCACGAGATGGATACAAATCTACCAAATATGAAGTCAACGAACAATTGCAAGGCTTCTTCAGCCTTGACGTCTAAAGTTGACCACGAAGACCGCGATAAATGCCTCAAAAAATAGGTAAACTTCGAGAGCGCTAAATTCAGGGGTAAATCCACATTTCTAGCGAACATCATTAAGGATTTTTAGGGCCCAACGATGCTAAGAACTACGATAAATGTAAGGACTGTCCGAACATGGCTTGCAAAGAAATTTCCTCAACTTCAGCAACGAATGTAAAGCGATTGATCGTGAAAAACAGTTCTTTTTGATCTGGCAAAAAAGCACTGACCAAATTGTGAGACTTGCAGCATTGGAATTATTGAACGCATGACAAAATTTAATGGCTATGTAAAGCTACATAAGTGAGTAGACCATTGTTGAAAATGAAACTTTGAATTTTCAAATACCAAGGTTCTTTTTCTAAAATGTTGATTGATCAATTTTGTTAATGGAATAAAAGTTTTGTATTGCGAATTCATGAACAAAAACCAAGTTCTACACAACTACAAACTATATTTTTGCTTCAAAAAAGGTTTTTGATTCTGAATTTGTGAATTTATACGGTTTCTTCGCAGTTTATCGAATGTTTTGATTTAAGGCAGTCCAAAGATACTTTCTCGGTATCACTCCCAAACACAATATTTGCTGAATATACACAAAAAACTAAAATTACCTTCGAAATGTCTCGTTTGGAGCCGAGGAAAGCTACAAGCTACAAACTCCAGTGTTGCTTTGTTTTCCAATGTTTTTTAATCCGAATTTTTCGTATTTCTGAACAATTTTACGCGTTTTCCCACGTCACGTGACGTCAATCACGCTACAAATAATTTTTTTGAACACATGTTTAGTCTCCATAAAGCCCGGGGGGCACTTTTTGGCCCGATAAAAACCCGCCGTTCGTGCCGTCCGCCCGGCCGCTGTAAACGTATACAAAAACCCATCGGCCCCCGGGGCTTTTCGGCTGAAAAGTGTTGCGATTTTTGCTGATTTTTGCCTCGATATCCGTTTTCTTGTTTTTCGAAATTTATATTCTGGTCAATTTTTTCAAAAAGATTTTTTCGAAAATTGGCGCATTCTCTGATGATTTTCACCAATTTTTCACTTTTCCAGGTCTTGGCCTCGATTTGGGTGATTTTTCTATAAAAGCGGGTTCACAAAAACCCGCTTCATTTGCGGCATCCATCGTGCTGCAGCTGTAATTTCTACGGGATAGAACGAATACAAAAGTTCCTGTTATATTCATAGTTTGGTTGCTTCGGACCTGGTGGTGAAGAAAGGTGCGAAAAAATTGCACAACGATCCTAATGGCATATCCAGCTATTTTTCAATACTTTGAAAGTTTTAGCCCATCAAAAACCTTCGAAAACCTTTTTTCAGTTCGCAACCGGATTTGTCCAAATGTCCAATTTTTTTGTTTATTGAATCGATGCGACCTCAAGGGAAAAACGTGCTTGTAAACTCAGTCGTAATCGATACTGATGGGACTTGTTTATCGCCACTTCAAAACCTTACTACGGTATGTCTTTTTCAGCGGCTTAAATGTTCAAAGACTTTGTCAATGTACCTTTTTTCCGGTTTTAGGAAAGTAGATAAAGATAGAAAGGCAAACGAGGCGGGGAAGCCACGCTATATAACTTACAAAACCGGTTGGCCAGAAAGGTATGAATATTATAGGCTGAGGTGAAAGCTATCTGAAGATGTTTATTTACTAATTTGTTGAATAGAAAGGATGTTGAAACAATGTCGAACGGCAAAACGGCCCTAATAGAAGCGCTCAAAAAGGGTCATTAGCCACCCCCTCAAAACCTTACGGTATGTCCATTTCAGTCTCGCCATTTTCATAAATGTTGGTCAATTTACCATTTTCTGTTTCTAGCAAAATAGATAAAATGGCGATCAATGCAAAGAAAGTATTGTTAAACTTTTCAAAACGGGCGGTAAAGAAACCTACACAACAATGAGTGGAGGTAATTGCTGTACATTACGCCATTTACTTATTGGTGGTTGACAGGACTGAGATTGCGAGGGCAAAAAAATCCAAGATTGGACAAGCCGCAATCGACTTGATTTTTTTCCCGCCTGTTCATTACCTAAGCCTAAGCCTCACTTAAACCGAAGCCTAAGCCTGAGCCAAAGAAGCCTAATCCTAAGCCTAACCTCAAAATAATTCATAGCTTTAACTAATTTATTTACTTTTTAGAAATGGTTATTTTGAATCAACTATCACTGCTGGGGCATACCGCGTAACGCCCTCGACTTGCGTGAAGCTGACTCGGCTTCGAGAAAGGTAAGAGAAGATCACAACATTCCTGATTAAATGCCGATCAATAATTACGTATTTTAAGCGTTGTTTTTAAGCAACCGACAGCCTGGAGATCGATCAAAGCTGAAGCTATATACTTTATTCGATGCAACTCTTTGACCGAGGAAACACCACCACTGCCGAACAGGTTACTGCCATCGTACAAGTCCTCCAAAAAGATAGTCTCCCACCTCAGCAGAGCCCTACGCTATGTGTTTTTGAGCGCTCCAATTGCTCAAAACTGGTCTTAATCTTTATTTTTGCTTCAGAAAAATATGAAAAATGGCAAACGATGTGGGGAATGTTGTGTTAGCTACTTTTCCAAAGCTGATAGTCACGTAAGGTCAGAGAATATTACAAGCTAATTCTAAGGACACATCGAGCTTTTTTTCAGTACCTGAATCTGCGTTTTGATTGACCGACAGCCGGGACGTGAAATAGAACTGAAGATATTTGTTGATTTCATGGATAGAAAGGGACCTCAATCGATTGAATCGATACGGCATCGAATGTAAAAAACACTGCCAATCGCAATACGGACCTTACCGAACCTACGGAAAAGGTCATTAATCGTCTATTCATAAGCTTCGGTATGTCCTTTTCAGCCTCGCAAATTACAAAAATTGGCTGCGATAACTATTTTATGCTCAGAAAACTAGATGAAATGGCAAACGAGACGAAGAAAGTCTATGGGAGCTACTTTTCAAAACTGGTGATCAAAGAAGGTGAGAGAATATTAAAAGCTAATACGTTTGGCATATCGAGCCATTTTTCAGTAACTTAACCGATGTTTTTAGTCACAAAAAACTTGGGCTAGAGGCAAAATGAAGCTGTGGATTTACTGATTTGTTGATGGAACCAAAAGCAAAAAACATCAAAGTTAGAAGATCCCTAGAGGATGCAGTCCAAAAGCTCGTTCCTCATCTCTTGATCACTTCATGAAACGTGAGCCTTTCACCTTTACAAAGGTCCAAAAATAGTGGTAATTTTATCGATTTTTATTTTAGCAATATATCAGTATCAGTACGCAACCATGTGTGCGGCGTACTGCTCATATAATTTGACCTGCTACAGGCTGGCGGTGACAAAAGGTGGGAAAAAGTTACATAGTAATCCTAATGACTTATCAAGCTAGCTTTCAGTATTTTTCACCACTTTAACTAGTGCTTTTAGTGGCCCAGAGCATCGAGATGAAAAAAAATTGAGCTACGTATTTATTGGGTCTTCCAAACTTTCGCAGAAGAGTACGACGCTGCCGTGGGGATAAAACGGGCCGTTTCTCGTCGCGTCAAAATCTAGCGGTATGTATCTGTCATTTTATACCTCACAAATTTCTCAAAATAGCTACACTCTTAAGACACCCGGTTTTTTTTAGAAGTCCGCTATATTGAGGAATCGATGTGGAAGTGAAAATATCTATGCCATTCCCCTGAAATATGACATGCTCAATCCCAGAAAGTAAGGTAAGAGAATATTACGCTCCAATACTATTGCCATATCAAGTTAAGTTTTAATAACTAAACCAAGGTTTTAATTACTGATTGACTTGCATTTAGGTGCAATCTGTACCTGTGGTTTCAAAAATCAAAAAACTCGATGAAGGTTGAAAAAATCAAATTCAGAAAGAACTCCCCTGAACGACGCGATGAAGACATTCGTTTCTAATCTCCTGATGACTTCAAGAAACGTGAGCCTTTCACCTTTATCAAGGTTCGAAAATAGTGGTAATTTTAGCAATTTTAATTTTAGCAAAAATCGATATCAGTGGGCAACCACGCGTGCTGCATACTGCCCTATAATTTGGCCTGCTATAGACTGGACGTGAAGAAAGGTGAGAAAATACGACATCGTGATCTTAACGACATATGGAGCGATTTTACAGCAGTTTCGTTCCCAGCCGATCCCAGAATTGGATGAACTTTTGTGAAACGACGTCAAGAAGGCGTTTCAATTTTATTTTTGCGATATTTTACGGGAAATGATGCCGGCTCCGCGTGTGGTGCGCGTGGCGTAATGAGCCACCGAAATCACCAAAAATTGGTGGGTGGATTTTTCAATAAGAGGGACCACCTTTAATAAAGACATCCTTACATCTTCTTTTATTTAATTTAGCTATCGATTGGCAGTGATAGTACTGTCGAGCTCGCGGACAATTCGAAGAATGTATGCAATTTTTATTGGCTTTTCAAAATTTTTTCGAAGCCGACGACGAACAAACGCAAGCGCACCAGGACCGAATCCAACATGTGAAAATGCCTAAAAGTATTAAAAAACGTTACGAAATTCGATGATTGGATACCCGGACAAAATTTATGGACAAATATTGGGGCCGGATATAAAATTATAAAATATAAAAGAAGATAAGAATAAGATAGATAAGATATAAAGCAATGACTCGTGGGTTTTGATACAGGCGTACTACAGGCTTTCCAAAAAATCGAGCCCCTCTAGCGGCCCCGAAAAGGCTCGGATTGAGAGGATAGACCGAGATTGTAGTATAGGATAAATTTTATGATTATTAATTTATTCTAAATTAATTAATTATAAAAATTTGATATAGAAGAAGGGGATTGCTTTATATTTACTTAGATAATACTGCTGCCGTTTCAGAAACACTGCGAAGCGACGTATGCCGAAACGTCATGGAGTGCTGAAGAAATAAAAAATCGAAGATCGAAGCAAAATGCGGGGAAGATTCGCCTAAAAGCCGACTACTGTATCGCTCTTCAGAAAATAAAAATTAAAAATGGTGACGACGTACCGCCAAAATAACTCTTCAGCTAAAGGTTAGTTTACAAATTACTCGGGACAAAGCGGTGTTGTTTAATAGCGTAGCATTAAGATTATGATGCGTAAAATTTTGCACTGATTCCGAAACTGTTCTTAAAATTCTTAGAATAGCTCGGCTTAAGAAGTTAAATGGCATTTTGAGATCCAGAGTCCAACAATGGATTAGTTAATTCAGGCAAAAATACCTACAACTGGACTGTAGGCGGGGGAGGGTAGCGGGAAGAAGATGCCGCATTTTTTAAGTAATCCCGTATGGGCCTATAGGGATACCAGTGGAAAAAGACCGCTTCGCGGCCATTTTCCACTGGACCCCGTCCAGGAATCATGAATTTGAATACCTTCTTCTTTTAGCCTGCGGCGCAAGAACCTGAGTAATGGCGCCATTCTTTGGCCTGCGGCGCTAGAGCCAGCGTTCCGCTAAAACCTTTGAGCCTGCGGCGCTAGTTACTGGTTTTTCTCCGGGATTTGGCCTGCGGCGCGAGAGCCTGGGTCAAGGGCCTTTTCTTAGGCCTGCGGTGCTAGAGCGAGGGCCAGGCCTAAACCTCGCACACCGAGAGCCTAGAAATATGGTTAGTTGCTAAACTACCAAAAAGCAAAAAGTTGGATTTGCTCAGGATCCGAACCCACGACTAAAGGCGTGGTAGGCCGGCCGTAAATCCACTACACCACGGGGTAGATGGGAACAGGCGGCGGGAAAGCTCTCTTCTGTTCCGGGGAAATAGGGGGCCGGGAGGCACAGAAAGGCCGACCCAATGCCCCGGGAGGGAAGCCTTCTGGTCACTTTACAAAATTAAGTTTTTGAGTCTGAATCTGCAGAAAATTTGCAAAGATAATAAGATGCGCGTGATCCCCACGATCGAATACATAACTGGTCCAAATTTCAGCCCGAAATTCCAAATGCGAATCGAGTTATGCCCCGAACACCACGGCTCGTCGCCAATTTTGTTAAGGATTTTTACTATTTTGCTTGTAAAATTGTTAAATCAAAGAATTTCGGAAAACAAAAAAAATGCGTGTTTGGCAAATGCATTTCTCCGCCTCCATGCCAAAAATCAGCGCGAAATTCGGCCTGACGGCCGAGAAATCGTCATTACAGAAAACAAACATACTTTTCTCGCTTATAGGATAGGATAGAAATCATTTTTGTAGCATTGATACAGTTTTTTGGATTTAAAAAAGCGCATAAAAATCATAATATGATCCGGAAATTTTGAAAGGTCAAAAACACAATTTCGAATTTTCAAATTCTTTCAAATTCTTTTTATGGCTTTTTAACAATAAAAACTACTAAAAACACCATAGAAATGCAATATAGATTATAAAAGGCAGGACGCATAGGTTTTAGGTACAGTAGAAAAATAGTTTTTACTCTGCCACCTCCCGAGCCCCGGTAAGAGTCCAGTACCCAACAGCTTCTTTGAATTTTACTTTTCAACGTGCACAAAGCCGTCAACACTCTTTTGATAGTTTTAATTTTCGGGTTAATATACCTTCATTCTGCTGCGACAAGAAGAAGCTGAAAATAGTGTCATTCCCAACCGCAACCGGAGAACCCGCACTATATGGAATCGGCACTAAAACACTAAATAATTGGCATAACACCAACAAGATGAAGGTACATATTTATGAGACCAGATGGTTACAGTCGCTACGCGACTGCAACCATCTGGCCTTCGGGCTACCCTACATGTCCCACTCCACCACATCCATTCCCACCTCCATCAATGCCGCCGATAGCGGAAACCCCGTTCAAAAACTACCTAAATACCTTCCTGATGGCATCAGATACCCCCCATGGCTGAAATCCCCTTCAAAAACTACCTAAATACCTTCCTGATGGCTTAAGATACCTCCCCTAGCCGAAATCCCCCTCAAAAACTACCTAAATACATTCCCGATGGCCTCAGATACCCCCCATGGCTGAAATCCCCTTCAAAAACTACCTAAATACATTCCCGATGGCTTCAGATACCCCACATGGCTGAAATCCCCTTCAAAAACTACCTAAATACATTCCCGATGGCCTCAGATACCCCCCATGGCTGAAATCCCCTTCAAAAACTACCTAAATACATTCCCGATGGCTTCAGATACCCCACATGGCTGAAATCCCCTTCAAAAACTACCTAGATACCTTCCCGATGGCTTAAGATACCTCCCCTAGCCGAAATCCCCTTCAAAAACTACCTAGATACCTTCCCGATGGCTTAAGATACCTCCCCTAGCCGAAATCCCCTTCAAAAACTACCTAAATACCTTCCTGATGGCTTCAGATACCCCCCATGGCTGAAATCCCCTTCAAAAACTACCTAAATACCTTCCTGATGGCTTTAGATACCTCCCCTAGCCGAAATCCTTTTAAAAAACGAAAATAACGACCGACCGGATGGAATGAGAGAAAAAAAGAAATGAAATCCCCCGTGAAAATTTTCAACCACGAAACGCGCGCGACCTGGCTCACTATGCCCAAAATCACTCCAACCTCCGTCCCCCACCCCTTTTACTAAGGAAAAAACTTTCAAAGTTAATTTTAATAATTTAAATTAAAACTTTTTCATAATTTTTTTATCAGTTTGGGGGTTTCTGACCATGCTCTATCCGAATCCGAAGAGAGCTAAGCTCTAGCTCCTCTCCCCTTCGAGTTGAATCTGGGACATGACGCACAGACAGACAGACGGACAGACACCTCAAGAAAATTATTATAGTTGATAGCTTTGACGGTTTTTAGGAGAACCATCTGAAGTCGTGAATTGTCAAGCGTGCCCTACCTAAATTAAGAAAAGAATATGAACCCCAACTCGACGACTTTTTTTGAAAAGCTACGGCTTGCATACCAGGACCACGAGCAAAAATAATCCAATTCAAATTTTGAACATGGTCAACCTCATTAATGGTTTGCAAAACAATTTTAAAATTAGATTTTTAAGCCCACGCATTGGTCCGTTGAAGAAGTAAAAAGACGATGAGATTCTCTACACTCGGCTTGACCCAATCATCGATGAGGAATGGCTATTCAAGGGCAAATTGCAAGTAACCCGCAACCTCTTGATGCGAAACAATAAAATAATTATCATTAACATTACATTTTTTGTTATGAATACAGCAAGTAACAAAAACAGACAGAGAGAGAGAGAGAGAGAGAGAGAGACGCTTCTTCGCTCCGACGCCCCACGCTTTTCGGAATCTCGGGCCGGTACCAAATTACTCCTGTCAGTTTCGAGCAGACCTCCTGATAAGCGCCGGAAAAGCAACCCTTCATACCCCCAATTTCACACAGCTGGTTTGGTAGTTTCGATTTTTTGATCGCTTGACTTTTTCTAACGCTAAATGCACCTATTAAATATGCCTGAATATCATTGTCCCTATTTCAGGTTGCGATCTCACCTTGCGTGATTTTACCGACATGACGAGTTCTGGAAAACCCGCTTATTTTGGAGTGGCTTCTGCCTGCTTCATAGTTTAAATTTATTTAAAAATGCTTAAATAGAACTTTAATCTCGGCGCGAGCAAGTAGGTATTCCGAGACGCTTGGACAAGGGCACGGAGAGTTGTGGGTTTTGAAGCTTCCGACACTATTAAAAGCATTGCAATTTAGGAGGATAAGCTTGAAGCGCTGTCGCTTAACATCGGCTTTGCGCACCATGCTTTTGATAACTGTAGAGAAAAAGAAATTGGCTGCGAGAGTTGTGACGACTGAAAAACGGACTGATTAAGAAGCCATTTCGAGGCTCGGCTGGACTCTACTACGCCCTGATATTCAGGACACGGGTATGAAACGTATGAAATGATAGTAAAGGGGTATATATTTTTGTGCCAATAACTCAAAAACGCCACAACAATCTTTAACGGAACAAAAACACATTCAAACTATCAATTTAGGTCGGAAAGCCGGTCCGAATTGTTGCAAGGAAGTTGTCGAAAACGCACCCTTTACCCAGGAGATCGTATGGGACATAAAAATGGATCCGCTCATGGCTGACCTGTGATTTGCATGGGCTCCTGGGACGCGCGAAAGACGGAGTTGGGCTGCATCCAAGGATTTGATAAAAAAAGAACATTACAGGTTGGGCGTGCCGAAACGGAGATTGGGGTTGCGGTTCATGCAAGGATTTAGAAAAATAAGC